TGTAACTCCTTTCTTGCCACACACCCTTGTAAGCCCGCTCCTGAAAAAGAAGTTCACAGTTCAGCAACAGTACTCTCTAATGTCTTCAAAAAAAAGGGGGATTTAAAAACAGTAGTTCCTCCCCAGTAAGGTCTCGCACAATAAATATCCCCACCTTGTGGTCAAGTATGTAAAAACCCCTTAAGAGAGCTAACACAAGACTAAAAGCAATGGATTAAATCACAAGTCTATATATTTTTTGTACCATTTCAACTGTGATAAGATAAATAACATACCACATTCTAGATGTTAAAGTCTTAAGGTAATTCCTTTTCCAGAAGTCATCAAATCAGGAAGAAAGCAAACAAAAATCATCCTGGACTGTCCAAATTTACAGGGTCAAGCACACAGTTTCTACCTAATTTTTATCTGTGATTTATTTTTGCAAGCTAACAAGAATCCCATGGACTAGGGAGTCTAAATTTGGAAACTGAGGGGGGCAAGAAAGAGAAGACAAAAGGGATGGGAGATTAGAGAAAAACGGACATTCCTTTTCTTTTACAACCTATACTAAATGCCTCAAAATGTTCTTGTCATTCACAGGAATTTCATTCTTAAAAGACTGGTTAAGAGGTAACATTATAACATTGATGTGATATCATTTACAAAAGCTCCTTTTTCATTCTAAAGCAAACATGAACAAACATAAAAGGAAAAGGGCAACTTGGCAGTCAAACTCCAAGAATTCCTAATGGGGTCACCCAACAAATAAGGAAGTTAAATGGGTGCTTGGGGGCTGAAGGAAGATTACCAATTAACTTCATGGACATAAGGTACACACTATCTGTGAGAAAAATCAACTAACAATATTAATATTTACCTTGGCTAAAATAAAAACAGTGGCCCTCAGAATCCAAGATCACATTCAGGCTTTCAAGTTAGACCGAAAGCTTCTGCTATAGTGACCTTGTGAGGTTAAAATGTACTTCGAAACATAGACTATTAGGAATACCTGGAAAACAAAATTCCCCTTCAGACTGAATACAGAGCACTGGGATTCATTTTACACATCAATCTGAAACCATGCCTTTTGCAATTATGTTTTGGGGGTTGCTTTACTTTAGCGCTGTCTTGTAAAATAAAAACAGATGAACCTGTTGCCAACTTCACCAACAGCCTGAGATAGCACACAGTACAGGATCAAGTCTGTTGCTCTAAATTGGACGCATTAGTTTGTTTCCAAGTTCTCCACATCCCAGTCAAGTACCCAGAATATCAGTTTTTATAAGGCAGCTGTTTTAATTAGCAATTCTCACCTTCATTCGAGAAGCTGTCATGATAAACTATTTCTTGACAAAAGTAATTTCGTTAAAAGCTTCCTTCTCCACAGGATGCATTATAGCATCAAACTAAGAACCTTCTGAAGTATGTTTAAAATATTTGTTAAGATGTCAAAGAAGGAAAACAACCACAAGCCTTCTGTTAACACACCTGATATTTCTTCCCCCTCGTTGACAGCTGAACCTGCCTTTGAGGGGATGCAGCAACTCCTTTAACTTCCAAATCCATCCAAAGCCAATGAACAACTTCAGAATAAACTGAAAAACAGAAAAGGCTACTGAGAAAATCATGTACTTTTTATATAATTACTTCTGCAAAAAAAAAAATCCTATTATTGCATTAGAAGGAGCGGGTCTGTCACCGATGATTTGGGTGAAGTGTTTGTCAAGCTGTGAAATGTTGCTGGCTTTCCTTTTTCACCACCTCTTAACTTCAGTCTTTCTTTACTAATGCTTAACCAGATTCCTGTTCAGTTTTACATCTTTGCATTGTGAAATACGAACTCCTCTAAATGAGTTAACAAGTTTCTATTGAGGGACAAAGCCAATAAAGCAAAAGCAACAGCGTTGGGCGCATGACCGTAGCCAGAGGCACAACTAATTAGTATTTGTTACGGGTTTATATACTTTCACTATTGCATTAGTCTTATACATATTCATAATTTCTGTGTATAGGCGGGGAATATTATAACTAGCTCCAGGAACTTATTATCATAAGTCTCCTCCTCTTGCGCACTGCTCTCTGGTGACTGGGGGCAGGGGTCTTGAGGATGCAGTAAGCAGTCTTCCTCTTGTAAGTAGGGGTCTTCAAGATGAAGTAAGCAGTCTTCCTCACAGTGTACTTTTCACCTTTGGCACAGTTGGACGCCCCAGTAATCACACAACTAGCTGAAACCAGCCATACCTGTAATTCTTCTGATAACTAGCAGAGATTTAAAACAGTGTGACCTTCCTGCAAAATTTATTGCAGGATGGGCAGGCAAGGAGTATCCCAAACTAGCAGATTTTGGGAGGCTGTGTCTCTAACTGATAAGTAGAAGGATGGTGTAAAATAATTCATTCATGTTTAGTGGGGCCACTAAATCCTGTTATCTCACCACAGACTTACAACACAAACATTGTTCTTTAAAGTTAAAGACACTTTAGAAGACTAGTGTGAAACAATTAACTCATGTTTACTGGGGCCACTAAATTCCGGACTTACAACATAAACATTGTTCTCTTTCTGCAACCTAACTTAAGCTAAAAAAGTGCTTTACCCCTATGTTTTCCAGGCACTAGCTTTTCTTATATCAAGTCCCTGCCCCTCTTTTACCTTTACAAATTCTTTTGCTATGTGACTCCGTTTTGCTCAAGAGTTCTAGCCCTTTTTAACTTGTCTAATCTTGTGTCTTTATCGAGCTTTGTTTCTGTTCTTGTAAACTCGTACAGTTATATCCACATAACCACACCTATGACTTGCGAAAGCCAATACATTTATGCGTTTATCACAGCATCGTTTAACTCCCTCTTTCCCTTACCCTTCTTGATAACTTCCCATACCAGCAGTCTTAACTTGTTACCCCTTGACAACATCAAACCTCTTTCACTCTTGGCTGACAGCTGCTGCCTGGCTCTCAGCTGCACCGTGCATTTTGAGGTATTTTCAGGAGGAGGTAAGGGCCCTCCTGGAGCACAGCCGGCCTCCAAGAGCTCCAAGCAACATTTTATCAATATGCCATCTCCTGCTCTGATGGTTTCTCCTTCCACCCAGCCAGTTTTGAACCAAAAATCATTTAATTCCTAGAAACCAGACACTCTGTTTTCAAGTCACCATCCACATTTTCTGACCACGTTTCTACTTACGGAGCAGGTTTACCTCCCAAGAATCCTTTCCTTTAGCAAGCCGAAGGGCCTACTTGGATCAGAGACGGCCAACCTGCCGGCCTTCCATCCAAACCCCCTCTGTCAGGGCACTTAAAACCAGGAGCCGACGACTTCTCAGGACCTCACAGGTCTCAGCGAGAGGCAGTATCCTCCCCGCTGAAGGCACAGGGGGCAGAGAGCGTTGCTGCGCTAAACGGTTAACGCGCTGAAGTAGCTTTACCACAAACAGCACTGTACGAGCCAGCTATAGGGAAGCCATGTACTCTCCCAGGAGCGCATGGGGGCTGAACGAAGGGGAGACCCGCAGCGCTGGCGGAGCACGGCCGGGTCCCGGAGGGGTCTCACCGCTGGGCCACGCATGGCGGACGGGAATGGCCTGCCCCACGCACATGCGTCTCCATGGTAACCGCGCCCCGTCACGCACCCTCCCCGCGACCTGTTGTCACGTTGCGGCAGCCCCGCCCGCGGGGCACTGCCGGGTACCGCGGCGCGGAGGGGCCAGTCCCGCCCGGGCTTAGCACCCGAATGTCGCAAAACACCGCCATAGCCGAGCGGCGAGGCTGGCTGACAGGACCCCTCCGGAGGAAATGCCCGGCCCCAGCATCCTTCCAGCGCACACCGGCCGTGCCCCGGCCGGCAGAGCTCCGCAGCACCCGCACCCGCCAGGGAGACTAAGCTCTTGTGCGCTGCACAGGTCCGTGTGCTGCGCAGATCCAGACAGCTGAAAGCAGAGATTTCAAACTAGCAGCAAAAGGGCTCACGGTGAACGGCTACAGACCTGGGTCAGAAATCTAGCCATTACCCCAAAGTAGCTTGAGACCTCATAGGCAAGGGCTTCCAGTAGCAGCAGCATAATTCTGTCCAATTGTATCCATTCTGTCCTGGGGAAAACTATCACCTCTGGAGAAACCCTAGCTTTCTGGTAAATCAGTTTTCCCAAATTAGTTTTGCAGTAAGTGAGACGTTGCCTAATACACTGACGCTAATGATGTATTTCTGGATACTGTTACTTCAAAGCCCATGTGATCCATTTGTAAAACCAATGACGTACCATGCTCCTGCACCTGAATGAGCAGTTCATTCCGTTTCAGTGAGTGGCACAGTAACAGGTTTGGTGCATTTCCTACATTAAAACAAATCCATGTTGTTTTCCTTTAAGAACAAAGATAGCAAGAGGCATTGCAACTAGCCTACTTAAAAGCTATGCAATTATAAACCCGAAAATATAACAGTATTGTGCTGTCAGGCATACCTCTAATGTACTTCCTGTCACTGAAGGGTGGCAGCTAAATAGGCATACATGTTAAGTGAACAAAAAATAAGCGGAAAATAAAGGTATGGACAAAAATTAGTCTGGCAAAGGAAGTAAATGTTTTAAAAAAGCAGCTATTAAGCTGGCATCATGAACTGAAAAATGAACCTCCAAAGCCCACAGGTACGGAATGATAATAGCAATGCATCTGTTTCTCAGAATGCTATTCTAAGAAAAAGAGTATTGCAACGAATCAAAAGGAAAGGTTCTATTGTGTTAAAATAAATATGAAATAGGGATATAGTACTAATGGTCATCAATTATGAGGCAGCTGCAGAGTTTAATCAGTGACAGGTGTGGAACAGATTAAGTGATCCAGTGAAATTATTGAAGTTTAAACTCATATACAAAACTATATATAATTCCTGAGGAGATGGCAAACTTGGACATAAATAGTGTCTGTGGCCAGGTTTCTCTGTCCAAATAAAAACTTGAATGCATTTCTAAGACTTAATGCTAACTGCTTTTTATACCTGCTTCAGAGAAAGTTTTCCACAAAGAGCTGAATTCATCAGTCCATGCTCTTTAATGAACTCAAGAAAGTCACATGGCAACATGCTTGTTAGCTACAAAATATTTATGAAACATCTATTCTTTATAGTCTTAACTACAAGACATTCTAATATTTTAGTGAAGCATCAGATATAGTTACAGTGCATTATATACAGAGTACAGAAATATTTTTTATAGGAAAAAAATAAATAGAAAAAAATATGTAAACATCCTGAGTAAAATTCTGCTGCCACTGAAGTCAGTTACAGAACTGTCACAGACAGGAGCACAGGCAGTATTTCACACCCTTTTTAAAGCATACAGCAGTGCACAGAACTCCATTCAAAACAGTTTAAAGTGCATACATTATAGGAAAAAAATAATTCATAAGCTTTTTAAAATTTTATATGTGCAGATTTCATTCATATCTATTACGCCTCCTCAATCCCATCTCTTCTGATGCAATGTTCATTATTTCTTGGTCTTCTACCACATCTTGCTCCAACTGATATTCTTCGCACTCATTGTGTAATTCATGCTCTTCTATTCTGTCATCATTATCAATATACTCAAGCAAATCTTCATTACTGTCATTTTCTCTGTCATCCATTTCTTTCTCTTGAGAATGTTCAGCAAATGACTGAATGAGATCTTCAAGTTTCTCGTTACAAACGTGGCCAAGATCTTAAAATTCACAAAAAAAGAAAATAAAATAAAAAGAAAGTTCAAATTACCAAAAAGTCACCAAATTTCAGCTTCAGTTTAGAAGTAGCATTTTTGTTTTTCCTCTATTAAGACTCAACTAATGCAAACATTCCCCAAATTTCTAGTGAGCCATTCTTAAGATTTCTTCTGGACTACTAAGAACCTCTTGATAGTCTCCAGTTGAAACTAATATAAAATTTGTTGTTTTGTATATTGTGCAGCCTCAGAGGTCCCCACATGGGAATCCTCAAACTGAAATTACTCCAGTACTAACAGCCTGCTTAGGAACTCCTGTTCAAAAAGCCCATTTTAACAAAGCAGAACATGACTGTGTGGTCTGTCCTAGTGCGATGTCTTTTAGCACCTGTTCCCAAAGAAAAGTCATGATATATCCAGACACACCTCAAACAGGAACAGTGACACTCCTCCAGAATAAAATTAATTTCACACACATTACCTAAGATGCAAGAGCTAAACATTACTATAGTAAGATTCTGTATTTAAAGAAATCCTGTATTTAAAGGAATAAACTATAGTTTATTACTTTAAAATATAAATGAAAGTTGCCTATCCTGCTGGAAATCAAAGTACCTTTCATTGTGTTTTCTGATTTATCCAATCCACTTTCTTTCATCAGCCGTCTAATTGATTGGAGCTGTGTCATTATTTCATCCTTCTGCTCACAAGCTAAAGCATTAACACTAGGAAAAAAAAAACAAGGCAGATGTCAGCAGCTGAAAGATTACCTTGGAAGTGAGAGTTTGATAATAATGTACAAGACTACAATAGCTCTGTTTGTGGATAAGTACCATAGTTGAGTTAGCAACACATTTAGGTCAACATTTTCTTTGAGAACTGTCTCCTGAGAAGTAGGGAGCCCACCACCATACGTCTGCAGAATAATCTAGCCACTGAATTCTAACACTGGAGCCCAAGTGGCTAAGGCTGAGTAATGACTACTGAAACAATTCTCCAAAGTAATTTTATTTTTATTTTTAGTACAACAGTGCCTAATGCAGACATTTACAGTTTAGAGGCGTTTCTCATTTATTTCAGATTTTATTTTTCTCCCCATCACTACCTTGAATCTGTAATGCAAATTTATCAGTGTATTTGCTGCTTAATAGTTTCAGCACATATTAAGTTCAGAAACACACTAAAGGAATAATCATGAAATTTTGCATGTTTTTAACTAGGCTTCGTGAAAGATGTCAGTCTACAAAAAATGTACTACATGGGTATTTTCATTTCTAGTACTTAGGTAAGACCCTAGCTTCTTAAGAAATAATTAGCTACCCTTGATAACTAGTTTTGTTTTCAAATTACAGCAGAAGGAAGAAACTCTTTCTGCTACTGGAAACCTAATTTCTGCAAGGGCTTTCAAATGCTACTGAGCTTAAGTATTTTTTCAGTATTAATCTCTTTGGTCAATATTAAAATTTAAAGCCACAGTAACGTGATAAGTCTGAGCTTTTGCACTTGCGTTTGGTGAACAAAAGACAGGAGGTGACTGTGGAAAATATCACAAATTGCAGAAGAGCTATTACCTGCAAAAGGCCACAGAGACAATAAGTAATTAAAGAAGCTTCCTAAACACTATTCCTTACCTATATATAAGGAACATTTTAAGAACTCTGTTAACATTTTAGAGAATTTCAATTTACATAAAACAATACTAAATGAGATGTTTAGAAACACTCACCAGTTTGACAGTGGATCCAACTGAGTCAATAAGGAATTTAGCATTTTCTCTGTCTGTGCTAGATGCTGCTCCAGCTCTAAAAGCTGATGCTCTAACAAAACACAGAATTTAAAAAAAAAAAAAGGGGGAGGAGAGTTGGGGGAGGAGGAAAGGACACTGTAAGAAATCTATTTACAATAACAAAAAAGATATTAATTTGTATTTTCAGTTGGGCAGATTAAAAAACAGGATTTTTTTTCTCTGTAAAATTCTAGAACATGAAAAAGGAATAGCTGAGGTAAGAACAGTAGCTTTACTATGTCCCTCTTATCCAGTAACCTGCCTCCAATAGTGCCCAAATAGAGGACACATTGGCAGAAACTGAGCAAGAATGTGGCTGTCACCTTCCCAGCCTCAAATATATACAATTTCAAGACTTCATGACATATAAGTAGTGTATTTATACTTAATATGCTATCATGAATTTGCCCCCTCACACATCACGATTATATTCAACACAATGCACTAGAGTCAAGAGGATTAACTTATCCTACAATACTACTAAACTTTGAAGAAAGAAGAATGCAACACGCAGGAATAGTGAGCGGGCAGCACAGCAAATCACTGCTGAACCCAGTTACAGATCTGGTATACAGAGACACCAAAAGAGGTTGATAGTTGTTTAACTGACTAAATATGTGTCTATATAAGGAGCAAAAAATATATGAAGTATGAAAACTGCTCAACTTTGATGTGCCATAATTTTTTCTCAAAAGGAAAGCCTACTTTTTGGCATATGCAGAACAGACTGAATCAGACAGTTAAAAGTACTCTCTCTATAATGAAGAAAAAGATGGTATAATTTATTCTGTCTCTTCTATAAACATTTGATGTCTTTGACAGGTCTCTCAATTTGGCCCAGAAGTTCAAGTCTCTTTAACTGTTTACCCATACTGTTCCACTGCTGACACAGTTCAATTCTAAAGCAGATTATATCCCTTTTAAATACCTTATTATTCTAAAGATTATTATATCATATTTAGACATCCTGTTCTACTGAAGAAAACCAAACAAGTCTTAAGTCAGAAAAACATCAGACATTAAAAAGCAGAGAATCATACTGTATCACTATACTGTTTCAAAGCACATTACCACCTGGAATTTTCAAATACACCTCTAACAACTGTTTCACATACAAAGACTAACAAAGTCTTTTTTTGTAGGTTCCTAGCTGCACTTAAGTAACTTAAAAGATTGTTCTCATTTAGCTAGACTGCCACCAATGAAAACATGTAGCTTTGTTCCAGCAGGAAATATGCATTCTGAATGGGTATCTTACCTGTTTCCTTTGCCTTGTCTTCCATACTTTTTTCCTTTTTGGTGAGACTTTCTTCATGTGACTTCATCTTTAATAAATAAAATCATGTTAAAAACACTTCATCACTATTCGTGTATTAAAACAAGAAGGCACTTAGAAATTTACTGAAGCTAAACAGAAACCATAAAAATCTGCTCCATTAATGAAACTCTATTCAGCTGTGCCTTCTTTGTATCTTAAACTAACACTCCTGATTTTAAGCAATGGCAACCTGACTGACAAGCTGTAAAAGAAAGAAGTTGCTATATCAAATCCAGTTTTCAAAAATGAACAGAAGGAATCTCCTAGGTTACTGGATCCAGTTTCCTCCCATTAACTAAGAGGTAAAACTTCCTTCTTCAAGTAGTGAAGATGCAATTATAATAAAATTTACATTTTAAACTCACAAGCTCAAGTGTAAAGATCTGTAACCTCCAAATTATTGTTTTTATTATGTTTAAATCTTATTTACAACCTAATTACATTTATTTTTAAAACCAAACTGGTCAGCCCCCATGTCCATTTTGCTAAATTGTGGTATTTTTCTCATTATTGAGATTATATGAAACAACTATGGAAATGAAGATGCTGTCTCTGACTTTGTTCAGGCTGGGTTTCTTTATTCTGAAGGCAAGCAACAATATTCCAGGTGCCCTCTCAGCATTCCAAGTGCTGTAATATCTCTTACTATAAATAATACATATCAAGGCATTTAAAAAAAACCACAAACAACTGATCATGTTTTCTCCTTTTTTTGATTTACAAATGGTAAAAAATGTATCATATTTCATGGATAAAAGTCTATGTTGCAGCTGCATGACCAAATGAGAAATTCAAATAAAATGTCAAGTCAAATAAAAGGTTAAGTCTACTCACTATTTATCTAATTGCTAATCTAAGACTATTACTCTGCAGGAATCATCCTTCTGTCCACCTCATTCCCATACTTAATCTCATTCTGAAGACTGAAAAGGAAGTGAAATACTGATGAGGCTTAAATTACAGCCTCAGGTAACAGCACTGTTTAGATTCTCAGATTCTTATCTGGGTGGGAGGGGGGTAAGATTCTCACCTTGTTTTAGATACTTGTAGAAGTCAGTCAGAAGCCTTTATAAGGAAGAATCAAAAATTACGAAATTTTAACTCTGGAGCTCACATTCAAAGTCAAACTGAGCAAGAAAAGGCTTCTTGACAACAATATACATGGGCTCAGAAATAGAAGGGGGGGCACAGAGAGGCACAAAACAAATCCAACAAGTTACATTTCCTTCCAATTTCAATAATTTAATGCTTTTCTTACCTTAAGAAATTTGTATGCTGCAAACACTCCCACTCCAAGGGCATACAATGGCATGAGGGTGAATGCTAACTCTCTACCATTTCCTCTTGTTCTCTCACTCTTTATCTCTTTTTCCACTGCATTTCTCATCTGCTGAATGCTCTGGTAAGTATGACTGTCAGAATTTCCTGGATTCTGGTGAACTTGATAAACTGTCTGAGGACTACCTTAAAAGTTAAATTGAGAGAAAGAAGACAAAGTAAGAAAAGAAATTAAGACTGCAATTAGTTTCACAACTGGAATTAAACTGTTTTCTTCTTATGTGACTTTGTTCATCACTCCACCAAGATGGTATGGGCAGCCCCGCATCCAAATAAAAATTACCAAAACCAAAAAATTAAAAATCACTCTTTCATGAATTGTATGCAAAGTTAAATCTAGACAGCACACTCTCAAACTAGTTTCTATGTTTCTTTAACATTTTAACATTTAAGCTTTAACATCTTAAGTTTTAAGCTCCTTCACAGCAATATTGGCAAACCTACAGCAACCTGCAGAAAAGCAGATGTTACAAGAAACAACTTAAAACTATACTCACAAAACCTGTTGATAATGCTGAGCAGTTACAAATTAGTATTTTTCCTCTGTATCAAAGGAGTTAAGTACAAATTGAATTATTGTTTTGTTGAAATACACATGCTGTGTGATGATTTTGTTATTTTGACAGTAAATTCAGTGTTAGCTGGATATTCTCATGGGCTTAGAAGTGCTGTACCTCTGCAAATCAAATATTTAGCACAAGATTACACAACAGCAAAGAGATGCAGCCTTGGAAGTCTGAAGTATTTTTGCATGTGATTTGCCTGCCAGAACAGGGAGCAGATAAAAGAACAGCCAGTGTCATTGTTTGACTTAGGAATTAGGTTATTTGGTAGTAAAATCTGGGGTTCATGGGCCATGCACATGAGAAACAGTGCTATCAGCTAAAGAATGCAGATGCGTGCAGAGACAGACAGCAGGTGACTGGAGGGGTGGTAAAGTTTTACACTGGTGTCTCAACTGACTGCCTAGACTTATACTTTCAAATCCCTTTGAACATTTAGCTCATCATAATTTAATATATCAGAACTGGGTATGGCTAAAACAAGATTCACATTCTATAAAAACTCCCAAACAAAAGACCATTATGCAAATCGCTCCCTGTCATTGAATACAGACAGTGGCATTTCAAGAACTGACAGCCACATAACTCAAAGTGCAAGAGACAGCCACAATCACATAGAGAAAAAAATTAACGTAAGTTACAACTCCCAGTGAAATAACTCTTTCTTTTTAGTTACATCATCTTCCAAATACAGGAGAAAAAGGGTTCCAATTCTGCTAACCTAAGCTGGTACTTTGTGATAAGAGAGCTCCAACATTGTTTTAGAATTGTCTAACATAAGTTAGCCAGAAAAGTTTTTTAGTTACAGGAAAGACTCTGACTGTAGCAATGTTTTCTTGATAGCAAACTGATGGTAAATCGATGCTCTGCAGTCAAGCCATGCCAAGTATCACTACAAGTTCTACATGTAATTGATCAGTTTGCAACATGCCCATTTGGAGATCTTTTATTTGCATGTTTACTCAGTGGAACCGGAAACAGAACTGGACATGTACACAAGAAAATTAAAGGCCCTACCTGATACAAGCAGAACTCAAGCTACCTTAATCATTTAACGCAAGTTCAGGCAGACAGTCTCCTTTCAACACAAACAGGTTTAGACTTACTACAAATGCACTACTCTAGAAATCTCATTTTAACAGTCTTCCTCCTCAGAATGTTTTCTATTGATTACTAAAGTTTGCACTCGCTTTTTTTCTTACATTAAAAACAAACAGAACTGAAAGTAAGTGAAATTTACTGAAATACTTAATATGGTAAAAAAATTTCCAGAGGTCATACAATAAGAATGTAGGTGCAGCAAACACCTTCCTGGCACTGAAGAAACAGCAAAGTGAGTTAGAGACCAAACAGGAGAAAAGAACCACCCAGACAGGTGAGGACACCAGATCTGCCTGAACCTTATTTTATGCAGTGCTGCCTTTTTGTGAGGTTTGGGTTTAAAACCATTTGATTTATAGGAAATGACAGCTAACATATAAATTAAACATCATGAAGCAAAACAGGCCAGACAAGAGCTTAGGAAGCACAAAGCTGGTTTGACATCAGATGGGAAGAACATGGTAGCAGCTCAAGCTTCACTTTTTCTGCCTTCCGGGAAAACACACAGACACATAATTTGAAGGATTACAGCAGCTGTTTATCCCTTAGAATGCCTTGGAAGGTATTATCAAGGAATCGCAGAGCCACCTTAAGAAAGCAGGCATTTTGTTATTTTCCAGAGTGAAAGCAGACCTTTGGACCTTAAGCTAAATCCTCAGTGACAGAGTTTAACATACATTTATACTGCTCACGCTTTAACAAGAAGCTCTCTAGCCCGTTCAGTGATACCTTTTCTAAACAAGCATCTTCGACTCGTGCCAATACACTACCAGTCAAATCTCACATGATGTATGCTATGTTTACGGGCAGTAACGCTCGGCTTCCTTGCTGCGCTTCTAACATGCGCAGTGGATTTCCTCCTCTGGGACCTCACAGGTGCCGGAGGAATTAAGTGCCGCCCGGCAGGCACTATTCCTTACACGGCCACGCTGAGATACGCTTCCCGTAACAGGGTGTTACCTGTATTTGTAAGACACTTGATTAGAACGACACAGGCAAAAATCAGAATTGTCATGAACTAGAGAAGCAGAACACAAAGTGGGTGACGTGGAGGGGGGGGGCGCAGGCCAGCTCGGAGGCGGCTGACAAGGCCTGGCCCTTCACGGCCAGTGTAAATGACCAAGCGGCTCCCGTCGGGCAAGGGCATAACCCTCTCCGCTCCCGGGGGCTACATCCCCGAGCCAGGGGCCGGCTCCGAGCGGCCGGCAGCGCGGCCCCGGCTACCCCTGTGTCTCCTACCTCTGCGGTGCTGACGGAGATCGTAATGTCCGGGGCCGGCCCTGCCGCCCCGCGGGGCCCGGCCGGCCCGCCCGCCGCCGCCCGCCCCGAACATTCTGGGCATGACGACAAAGACGCAGAGCACCAGCACCACCGAGACCACCACCTGCTGCGCCGCCGACAACACCATGGCCGCCGCCTGCCCGACAGCAAGCCACCGCCCCGCGCGCCAGCCGCGCCCCGCCCGCCGCCGCAGCGCCCCCCAGCGGGCTCCTCGCGTCACGTGGCAACAGCATCCGGCGGGCCGCCCTGTGAAGGAGAAGGTTCTGGAAGAGGCTGGGCCGGGACAAGGTGGAGCCGGGATATCTCTGCGGGAACCCGGCAGTTGCGGCCATGAGGCCATGGGCGGTGGTGCTGGCCTTGTGGGTGGTGCTGAGGCCTGCGGCAGGGCAACAACGCCTCCTGCCGGCCATCACAGATACCGCCTTCATCAAGGAATGCGTGCGCGTCCACAATGACTTCCGCTCCAAAGTCCAGCCAGAGGCCAGCAACATGCGGTACATGGTAGGAGCAGGCCTGGGGGTGCACGAGTGGCTGCAGACCGCCGCCGGCAGCAGTATAACAGTGGGCCAGGGGGCTCTTGGTGGCCATGGGTGAGGCAGCCAGGTTGGAATCACTGGTTTGTGTTCAAATGCCATCACATTCATTTGATAGGAAATAGAGTGAGTTGTAGACAGGTGAGTCTAGAAACATCAGGCATGCAGGATGAGGATGCAGCGACGCAGGCAAGCTGCAGATCATAGGGTCGTACAAGGTACCTTAAAGATAATCCATTTGCAACCCTCTGCCATGGGTAGGGACACCTTCCACTAGACCAGGTTGCTCAGAGCGCCATCCATCCTGGCCTTGAACACTGCCAGGGATAGGGCAGCCATAGTTTCTTTGGGCAACCTGTGCAGGGCTTCATCACCCTCCTGGTAAGAACTTCCTTCTAATGTCTAATCAAAGTCTGCCATTTTCTCCTATCATGTCACGTGTAAAAAGTCCCTCTACAGATTTCTTGTAGGCCCCGCAGGAGTTTCTGCCTAGGAAGAAGCAATGGGCCATCAGCAGGACCAATCCAGAAGAGCTAGGATCTTCATCAAAAGCAAGGAGGTGAAGTGCAGTACTGGGGCTGAAGGGAATTTCTGGAAGCAAGGAAGAATTTTTGGTTGTCATAACCAAAACAAATTGCAGAATTTTTTATTCCCCCCCCCCCCCCCCGGAAAGTGTTAAACAAAACTGAAGAAGATGCAGAAAAAGTGAATGTTTGATGTTGCCCAGAGAAGCTTTGGCTGCCCCATTCCTAGCAGTGTTCAAGGCCAAGCTGGATGGGGCTTTGAGCAACCTGGTCTAGTGGAAGGTGTCCCTGCCCATAGCAGGGGAGTTGGAAACTAGATGATCCTTCAAGGCTCATCCAACACAAACCATCCTATGATTCTACGATATGATTCTATGTTTATTGTATTTTCCTGAAAACTGGGAAAAACTATGAATAAAGGTATGCACATAGAAATACAGTTAGAAAAAACTAAGGGCCTGAGGAACAAAACAGTTAGGAGAAGCCAGTGAAGTTACTGTAAGATCCACGATCCACGTAGAGATTAAGAGTGAACTGAAATGTACCAACATCAATAAACCTATGCAATAAACCACAGGATCTTTTATAAGACATAGAACTAGGTATTTTAATGGTAGAAGAACCTGGCTGAAAAGCAATTGAGACTGGAAAACAACAAAGATGGTTCATATTCAGGAATCAGAAGTTTTATTAATGGTGGCAGGCTACAAAGAACTAAGAGGTAACAGAATAAGTTACTAGCCAAACATTGGCATGTTTACCTCACAGACCTGTCTTTGTAAAATGCTCCAATGTGAGTTTAAAGCTTTACTGTGGGAGCAATAAGTGTTCTGGAGCCTCCCTTAAAAAAAAACTTAGCTGTAGATCAGAATCTACAATAGCTGTGCTTTTTTAGTTTGAATTAGTTTCTATATACCAAATAGAAACCTTTAATGACCTATTCAACAAAAACAAGCACAAAGAGAAGTTTCATGTTTAATTAGTATGACAGTAATTTCTTATCTGAATATGTAAGTGCATTTCAAACAACTTTTCAGTTACTAGCAAGTGTTCTTAGTTAATTTTCAACAGTGAAAGGGGACAAAAAATAGTCTAATGAAACAAGGCGTATTTCCATGCTGCAACAGGAAATGTCGATTAAAATAAAACACTGGTACTTGGCCTAAATAAGGGAAAGTATTTCTTTATGAAACTCCAGCATAGTGTATCTGTACTTTATTGCCTAACTGGCTTTATCTGAGGTCTGTGTGTAGTTGCACAGCTATTTCACCTTTCATGTTTTGCAGACTTGGGATGCAGCTTTGGCAAGGACTGCAAGGGCGTGGGCAAGAAAATGTGTTTTTGAACATAATGTATACTTAAAGGAGAGATACCAGTGCCATCCTAATTTCACATCTATTGGAGAGAATATTTGGGTTGGAAGTGTTCAAGCATTTAATGTTACTGGTGCCATTAAATCGTGGTATGATGAGGTCGCGTTCTATGTCTTTAATGTGGATGTATGTTCTAAGTTCTGCGGTCATTACCTTCAGGTAAGAGTTATCTTTGGTAAAATGTCCTGTATAATGCCTCCCACATGAATCAGTGGGGGCTGTAAATAATACAGAGTTCTGTATGTCGTCCATAGTGACTGACAGTTTATTGACTTTTGTAATCTCAAGCAATGTCTGTACTGTCAGTTGGCTCATCTGATTTGTATGTAGTAACCTATTCTTGTTCACAGTACTGGCCCTGCTGAAAGGCTCATTATATCAGTACTGCCTGAACTTCATAAAATAATCGTTTCAAGTTCTACAGCTTCAAAGCCACACAGTTCTGTTTTCTGTAAGTTTGGAGATGCTGTTCAAAATAATCACAGTAATTGCTGAATGTTTGTGGTACTCCATAGTAGAAATGTTAACAGAAGGAGAAAATCCATCCAAAGTAAATTGTGTTCTTTACATATCTTGTAAAAAAGGAAGAGAAGAAAAAAAGCATCAACAACAAAAGAGGCAATTTATGATATATATCTGATTTCTCAGTGGTAATTCTGACAATCTTAATTCTATTGAGAAAGTGAAGCTTTTCTTGGAACACTTAATATTTTAAATGCATCTGTTAATTACCATGATTAAAAAATAAGCTTTGCAGTAGAATTAATTGTATCTATGAACAAGTATATAGTATTTCACTGACCTAAAACAGATGATAGTTTTAATGTCAAGTAGGTAGCTAATAAAAGTGACTCTTAATTTCTTATCAGTATTGAAGGTCCTTAGACTGCTCTCTGTGCAAATTACAGATGAAAATACTGTGCGGTATACTTACTTACAGTGCAGCTGTTACCAGAAAACAAGAGTAGCTGTGAGGTTCTTTTTGAGTAACTTTGGATTGTGAAATGAAAATACTTTGTAGTTAACAGAATCATTTACAGAGCATTTTCTACTTGGGTCTTTTTTGCACCTCTTTTTGTGTCTTTTCTCACTTACTTCCTCTCAAGTGTTAATTCTTGTTTCCTGCCCTTGACTCTGCATGTAACAAACTCAAAAGCAAGGCTGGAGGATTTAAGTTTTGCTGTTTATGGGGCAGTAAATCTTTATGAGATTAGAACTAGACAACATCTTGGAAAGTATTTTTCACTTTTATTCTGGCACAATAAATTATGAAAAATTATATAGCAAGGTAGTTTTCAGCATTTTTAAATTCAGTGTTGTCCTGGGTTCAGCAGTAGCAGTCATGTTTTTTTTCCTTTGTGTTGGCTGGTGCAGTGCTGTGTTTTGACTTCTAGTTTTGAGAACAGCGTTGGTGAAGCCGATGTTTTCGGTTGTTGCTAAGTGATGTTTACCCTGACCAAGGACTCTGTGAGGCTCATGCTCTGCCAGGGAGGAGGGGAGGCTGTGAGGAAGCAGAGACGGGGCGCCTGACCCGGGCTGGCCGGGGAGGTATTCCATACCACAGCACGTCATGCCCGGGGTGGGGGGTAACTGGGAGTTACCCGGAAGGACAGGAGCTTCCGGGTGGAACTCGTTTTCTTGGCCGGTGGTATCGTATTCTCTTCCCTTGTTATTTTCCCTTATCATTGTTTTAGCTGATAGTAGCGGTGGTGATTTGTTGCTGGTGGTGATTTGTTGCTGGTGATTTGTTTCTTGTCTCAACCCGTAGGAGTTGCACTCTCTCGATCCTCCTCCCCGTTCCTCCGGGAGCGGGGAAGGGGAGAGCCCCGGTGGAGGGAGGGGGGGGGAGACGAACACGGACCTTGATTGTTGTCAGCTTGGCACCACTCACTGGGAGTGAGTGAACAAGTTACCTGACTGGGTTTAAACCACGACAGTTCTTTTTGGCGCCCAACGTGGGGCACGAGGGGTTGAGATAAGAACAGATCTGACTGGATTGATAGTCACTCGTCACAATGCTGATTTATTGGCTCTCAAGGTTTTTCCTCTTGATCTCACAGTTTCAGTATACCATATCTTACGTCCATCCGGTATTGGCTGTATTAGTGTTTTTCAAGTGTGGGGCTTGGGCTAAGGTTTTTATCCCATTGTACTTTATGGTAATGACTTGTAATACAATAGAATCATTGATCATGAAACTGATCTGGCTTATGTTCCCAGTGTGGTCACCACCTTTATACTTTGGGAGGTATATGATGGAGGTGCTTAGCAATTACACATCTTTTTTCTCCTTCTCAGGTGCTCAACCTGTGAAGGAGACATCCTTTTACCCTCCTAGTCGTCCCCCCAGACCATTTACATTTGAGAGTTTCGAATTTTTTAAATGGCCTTTTAATGCTCTTGAGACTTGTTTGCTGATGGTGATGGGAATCACCATGCTAACACGCATACAGAGTGTGTTTTGCCCACTACTGATTTCAAGAGTTAAGCAGATTCAGGTTTGGGTCTTGTCTGGGGTCAAACGACGATGTAGGAGGACCGAGAGATTTTCCCAGAGGCTGGACAACCATGAGTGGCAGGGTGTGTGGGATAGTATGGGCAAGTATCTAGGTCAGTGGGCCCCCCCAGTATTTTGGAATTTCACTACCGAACAACTGCAAAATCCAGAAGAATTAGTAAAACACTTAAATGAGGTGTGTGGTCATTCTGGCCATACCAGAGATGGACAAATCACGGCAACGTGCTGGGGCTTGGCCTATGCTTACAGGGCCTTGTTCAACACTATCCAGCACCTTCAAAAGGAAAAGAATGTCGGCGGATTTGAGGGCAAAGCGACAGTCGCTACTCAAACTTTGGCTGCAATGAACTGCGCAGCTACCCCAGTGGCAAGTACAGCAGCTGCTCAAACTTCAACTGCAACAGACAGCGCGGTTACCCCAGCTCCAAGCACGGTAGCTACACCACCCCCAGCAACAAGTACAGTCGCTACTCAAACCACAGTGATAATCACTGCAGCCAAACCAGAGGACCAATTCGTACCAATATCGGTTGCCCCTGTACGCAAGAGAACAAGCAAAAAGGAGGCAAAAAGGGTGAAGCGAGATGAAGAACCAATGAATTCACCACCCGGTCCAGAATCTGATCAGGAGTCATCCTCACATGACGAAGAAGAAGAAGAAGAGGTAACTTCTCGACCTCGGACCTCAACCGAGCTGCGGAATATGCGAAAAGATTTTACCCGTCAACCAGGGGAGCACATCATCACCTGGTTACTCCGATGCTGGGACAATGGGGCCGATGGTCACGAACTAGAAGGTACAGAAGCCAAGCAGCTGGGATCACTTGCTAGAGAAGGGGGAATTGACAAAGCAATTGCAAGAGAGAAAAAGTCCCTCAGCCTTTGGAGGAGGCTCTTGGCAGCTGTGAAAGAAAGGTTTCCGTACAAGGACGATGTTACGAGTCGTTCGGCCAAGTGGACTACTATAGACAAAGGCATCCAGTCTCTGAGGGAATCGGCCATCGTAGAGATGATCTATCACATCAAGCCGAATAACGGGGATACACCTATAGATCCAGATGAAGTTGAATGTACACGACCCATGTGGCGAAAACTTACACGGAATGCACCGTCATCATATGCCCATTCATTGGCAACAGTGACCTGGAATGACATAGTACCACTAACAGTGGATGAAATGGTTCATAAACTCCGAGAGTTCGAAGACAATCTCACTCCTTCCATCATCTCAGCTGTGAAAAAACTGTCCCAGGACCTCGACAAATTGAGGGACGATGTATCTGATTTATCCAGCTCTTCACGTGTACCAACACGCGTCTCAGCTATTAACAAAAGACGTCCTATTGTTCAAGAGAGGAGATACAGAAGGTATACGCCACGGGGTACCCTATGGTTTTACCTGCTGGATCACGGAGAAGACATGACAAAGTGGGATGGAAAACCTACTTCAGCTTTGGAGGAACGGGTGAGTGAACTGAAGAGGGGAGCAAGGGCCAAGACTGATCGTCCCATGAGAGCTACGGCTTCAGTTTCTGGTGAGCAGTTTCCCAGATGGAGTGGAAGAGCTGATTTTACTCCAGCTCCTGTGATAACGAAGAATAATCCCTTTCAACACGATTTAAGTGTCCAATGCTGTGACGACCATTAGAGGGGCCCTGCCTCCAGCCAGGTGGAGGTAGGGGACAATCGGATTTACTGGACTGTGTGGATCAGATGGCCTGGCACATCAGTCCCACAGAAGTATAAGGCTCTAGTAGATACCGGTGCACAGTGTACCCTGATGCCATCAAGCTGTCAAGGGGTGGAACCCATCTATATTTCTGGAGTAACAGGAGGATCCCAAGAGTTGACTGTGCTGGAGGCTGAAATCAGCCTGACTGGGAGGGAGTGGCAAAAGCACCCTATTGTGACTGGTCCAGAGGCTCCATGCATCCTCGGCATAGACTACCTCAAGAGAGGGTACTTCAAAGACCCAAAAGGGTACCGGTGGGCTTTTGGTATTGCTGCTTTGGAGACTGAGGAAATTGAGCAGCTGTCCACCTTGCCTGGTCTCTCAGAAGATCCCTCTGCTGTGGGGTTGCTGAAAGTTGAAGAACAACAAGTGCCAATTGCGACCACAACAGTGCACCGGCGGCAATATCGCACCAACCGAGACTCCCTGATTCCCATCCATCAGCTGATCCGTAGACTGGAGAGTCAGGGAGTGATCAGCAGGACCCGCTCACCCTTCAATAGCCCCATATGGCCAGTGCGAAAGTCTAATGGAGAATGGAGACTAACAGTAGACTATCGTGGCCTGAATGAAGTCACACCACCATTGAGTGCTGCCGTACCGGACATGCTAGAACTTCAGTATGAACTAGAGTCAAAAGCAGCCAAGTGGTATGCCACGATTGATATTGCCAATGCATTTTTCTCCATTCCTTTGGCAGCAGAGTGCAGGCCACAGTTTGCTTTTACTTGGAGGGGTGTCCAGTTCACTTGGAACCGACTGCCCCAGGGGTGGAAACACAGCCCTACCATTTGCCATGGACTGATCCAGACTGCACTGGAACAGGGGCAAGCTCCAGAACACCTGCAATACATTGATGACATTATTGTGTGGGGCGATACAGCGGAAGAAGTCTTTGAGAAAGGGAGGAAAATAATCCAAATCCTGCTGAAAGCCGGTTTTGCCATAAAACGGAGTAAGGTCAAGGGACCTGCACAGGAGATACAATTTTTGGGAATAAAATGGCAAGATGGACGTAGACAGATCCCCACAGATGTGATCAACAAGATAACAGCAATGTCTCCACCAACTAATAAGAAAGAAACGCAAGCTTTCTTGGGTGCAGTGGGGTTCTGGAGAATGCACATCCCAAATTACAGTTCGATTGTAAGCCCTCTCTATCATGTGACCCGGAAGAAGAATGATTTTAAATGGGGCCCTGAGCAGCAACAAGCCTTTGAGCAAATTAAACGCGAGATAGTTCATGCAGTAGCCCTTGGACCAGTCCGAACCGGACCAGATGTAAAAAATGTGCTGTACACTGCAGCTGGGGAGAACGGTCCTACCTGGAGCCTCTGGCAGAAAGCTCCAGGGGAGACTCGAGGTCGACCCCTCGGCTTTTGGAGTCGGGGATACAAAGGATCTGAGGCCAGCTATACCCCAACTGAGAAAGAGATACTGGCAGCCTATGAAGGGGTTCGAGCTGCTTCGGAAGTGATTGGCACTGAAGCACAGCTCCTCCTGGCACCCCGGCTGCCCGTGCTGGGCTGGATGTTCAAAGGCAGGGTCTCCTCTACACATCATGCAACTGATGCTACATGGAGTAAATGGGCTGCACTAATTACACAACGAACTCGAATAGGAAATCCCAGTCGTCCAGGCATTCTAGAAGTCATCATGGACTGGCCAGAGGGCAAAGATTTCGGAATGTCACCAGAGGAGGAGGTGGTGCGTGCCGAAGAGGCCCCACCATATAATAAACTGTCAGAAAGTGAAAAGCAGTATGCCTTGTTTACTGATGGCTCTTGCCGTATTGTGGGAAAGCATCGGAGATGGAAGGCAGCTGTATGGAGTCCTGGACGACAAGTTGCAGAAACTGCTGAAGGAGAGGGTGAATCGAGTCAATTTGCCGAGGTGAAAGCCATCCAGCTGGCCCTGGACATTGCTGAACGAGAAAAGTGGCCAGTACTTTATCTCTATACTGACTCATGGATGGTGGCAAATGCCCTGTGGGGGTGGTTGAAGCAATGGAAGCAGAGCAACTGGCAACGCAGAGGTAAACCCATCTGGGCTGCTGCACTGTGGAAAGATATTGCTGCCCGGGTGCAGAACCTGGTGGTGAAGGTACGTCATGTAGATGCCCATGTACCCAAGAGTCGGGCCACTGAGGAACACCAGAACAACCAACAAGTGGATAAAGCGGCTAAGATTGAAGTGGCTCAGATGGACTTAGATTGGCAACATAAAGGTGAATTATTTTTGGCCCGGTGGGCCCATGACACTTCAGGCCATCAGGGCAGAGATGCAACATATAGATGGGCCCGTGACCGAGGGGTGGACTTAACAATGGACACTATTGCCCAGGTTATTCATGAGTGTGAAACATGTGCTGCAATTAAACAAGCCAAGCGGTTAAAGCCTCTTTGGTATGGAGGACGATGGTTGAAGTATAAATATGGGGAGGCCTGGCAGATTGACTATATCACACTGCCACCAACCCGCCAAGGCAAGCGCCATGTGCTTACCATGGTGGAAGCAACCACCGGGTGGCTGGAAACATACGCTGTGCCCCATGCCACTGCCCGGAACACTATCCTGGGCCTTGAGAAACAGATTTTGTGGCGACACGGCACCCCAGAGAGAATTGAGTCAGACAATGGGACTCATTTCCGGAATAACCTTATAGATATTTGGGCCAAAGAGCATGGCATTGAGTGGGTATATCACATCCCCTACCATGCACCAGCCTCTGGGAAAATCGAACGGTACAATGGGCTGTTAAAAACTACACTGAGAGCGATGGGTGGGGGAACTTTCAAGCATTGGGATACACATTTACCAAAGGCCACCTGGTTGGTCAACACCAGAGGATCTGCCAACAGGGCCGGCCCAGCCCAGTCAGAACTTTTACATATTGTAGAGGGGGACAAAGTTCCCGTGGTGCATATGAAGAATTTGCTGGGGAAGACAGTCTGGGTTATTCCTGCTTCAGGTAAAGGCAAACCCACTCGTGGGATTGCTTTTGCTCAGGGACCTGGATATACTTGGTGGGTAATGCGGGAAGATGGGGAAGTCCGATGTATACCTCAAGGGGATTTGATTTTAGGGGAAAACAGCCAGTGAACTCAATTGTATGCTGTTGCCTGCTGTGTAATGCTTTTATAGCCCATCAACTAGATGTCTCCAGGTCACCAGCGACTGGCCCTGACTTCCCTCCAGCCATCATCCCAACAGAGAATGAACTTGGAACATCATGGACCGAATGGACTCGGCAGCATTATAGGGATTGGTCCATGCACTAAGAAAATGATTTTTTTTCCTCTTGGTCTGTATGTATATGGATGTATATATGTGGGAGAGCGATGGTGTATTGAAAATGTGGGATCTGAGCACGACGTGAATGGTATGGAATAAGGGGTGGATAATGTCCTGGGTTCAGCAGTAGCAGTCATGTTTTTTCCTTTGTGTTGGCTGGTGCAGTGCTGTGTTTTGACTTCTAGTTTTGAGAACAGCGTTGGTGAAGCCGATGTTTTCGGTTGTTGCTAAGTGATGTTTACCCTGACCAAGGACTCTGTGAGGCTCATGCTCTGCCAGGGAGGAGGGGAGGCTGTGAGGAAGCAGAGACGGGGCGCCTGACCCGGGCTGGCCGGGGAGGTATTCCATACCACAGCACGTCATGCCCGGGGTGGGGGGTAACTGGGAGTTACCCGGAAGGACAGGAGCTTCCGGGTGGAACTCGTTTTCTTGGCCGGTGGTATCGTATTCTCTTCCCTTGTTATTTTCCCTTATCATTGTTTTAGCTGATAGTAGCGGTGGTGATTTGTTGCTGGACTGTTCTTGTCTCAACCCGTAGGAGTTGCACTCTCTCGATCCTCCTCCCCGTTCCTCCGGGAGCGGGGAAGGGGAGAGCCCCGGTGGAGGGAGGGGGGGGGAGACGAACACGGACCTTGATTGTTGTCAGCTTGGCACCACTCACTGGGAGTGAGTGAACAAGTTACCTGACTGGGTTTAAACCACGACAAGTGTTCAACCTTGGCTACATAGAATTCTGGTGGGTTTTGCACATTTCTCTTGGAATAATGTTCACTTCTGATCTTTCTTTCTCCTGATTAATATTGCTTTCATGTTTTATATATAGTTAAGTCATCTCAAAATGTTCATGCATTTCAGGCAGTATTTCAGGCTGAATTACACAGGCAACTAATTGCTGGAAACAAAACCAAGCAGAGTATATGGGTTAAACACCAGTGAATCTGTTAAAAATACGTATTTCATCAAAACTGATAATCAAAGACCAGGCATGAACTAGCAGCTGTCATAGTCTTGAAGGCTATAACAGAAAGTTGAACGTGGGTAAAATTTACAGACCATAGTGGATAGGCTGTGTAGACCTGCCAAGAGAACCACAACACACTAATCTCAAAATGGTGGAAACCTAAAAATATGCGATGCGGTTACATAAAAATCTGTGAAATGCTTAGTCCTTAATCCAAGAGTCAGGTAACACCACTTTAAATATTAAGATCCTTTTTGAAGACAGGTTGTATCTGTTGAATGTAACTGCTTCTTACAGTTACATTTGAAGAGGTGGAACTTGTGGGCGTATTCAAGTCTGTTTGTCAGTCTGAGGCCTGTACTGTTTGTACTGGGGAGGTACTGAGAGTAATTCACTATATCTTTTAAATTGTTCTGAAGTGGAATGTATGATCAGCCAGATGTGCTAGGTGTATAGTTAAACTTTTTCACCTGAACTTAGTACGGTTTGGTTAGTCATATGCATAAGGTATAGAAAAGAATCTTATAAGAAAAAGCAGAGACCCAAACTGTAAGAGATAATAAACCGTTTTCTGTTAAGAATGGCAGATGACACTCCTTTAGTTTGAACATGTGCAGTGCTAGAGCTTTCAGACTTAAATCTACAGTACAAATTAGCCGAACCACTTCTAGCACAGAGAAGTGCTTCTTGCAGACCTGAGTTATGAATGTTATAATTAAAGGAGCTGTTGGGTAGTTGCCACTAATTTCTCTTTTGTTCCAAGGAATCTACTCCTGAGTCATAAAGTCATTGACTCTTACTAAAATTGTTCTGTAGAAGATTCTGGAAACTTGCAGCGTAGGTCATTTCATCTTGAAGGGTGAATATTCAGAAGTTAATCTTAAAAAATGTGCTTACCACCAGTATTTTTGAATGTATAAGAATAGGTGTTGCAAAATGAAAATAAGAAGTAGGATTTCTGAAAATAAGGTAAACTTTCCAAATATTAGACTAGGTTACTGTTAAGTGTAGTTTTTAATTTATTTTAAAATCTTCATTGTTTAGGTCGTTTCGGACTGTTCATATAAAATAGGCTGTGCTGTTGCTCCATGTAACAAAATCGGAAGAATACGAAATGCAGCAAATTTTGTTTGCAACTATGCACCAAGGTAGGTTGCAGGTTTAAATATTAAAAAAATAAAGCAATTGTAATGGCATTTAGCTGTAAATAAATTGGGTTCTTTATTTATTGGAGAAAACAGTTGTTGTCTAATTCAGTTATCAAGAGAGCTATGAGCATGTACTTGCAAAGTTTTTTAATCTGTTAACTTTACTGATAAATCTTTCTCTCTTCCAATCCTAAGCAAAGAAACCCCAAACTTACCCATACTCCAATGATTTCTTTTTCATATGACACAAAAGAAGTGGCAGCAGTTGCTGCAGGCAACTTGCAGTTTTATACATGGTTTTAATTGCACTTAGCTTTTTACAATGTATTTCTTTTTTTTTTCTTATTAATTACAGAAATAATAGCACAATTGGTAGATCAGTTGCTTTTTTCTCTGTAACAGTAAAATAAATTTCATTTTCATTTCTTGACTAAAAGCTGTGATGCACCGCATGTTATTTGAACATTAGAAAACAGTAAATGATCAGTGCAAGAAGAAGCTAACAGCAGGAAGTGATTTTACATTTAAATTATACTGTGAAAAAACGTAGGCCCTAGTCAGTGCTGTTCCTAAATTAGGAGTTTGAAGACACAGAGGCAGTAGTTCTAAAATAATATATTTTGTCTCATAACAGTACACAGTCCATAATCAGGCACATGCATATGCAATTTGTCATTTTTAAAACATCCATAGCTTGTGAGCTTGCATGACAGCTGTTTTTTTCTTTTTCTTCTAGCAAACCTGGGCCGCTTTTGGGGAGTTCAGTTAGCCTGAACTAAAAAAAACATTGAGCCCTGCCCATCTCTCTTCCTGTACAACAAAACTGGACTTGCACTTGAATTGTTATTTTGAAACTTGCTGGGGTATAGGACTTTGTTGTTTTCTTTTTAAAATCTGAACTAATATGTTTACAGTTGCCATTGCAGAATAATGACTAATTGGCTTCAACAGTGGTCTGTAAGCCTTCTCACTTGAGATTTTCTGATCTATAACAGTATACCATGTTGTTTTGCTGTGCTGTTCTGCACATCCTAGAGAGCTGATAGCTAAGCTGAATAGCTGTCTTGAGAATGAGGTCTTAACGTGTCGTTGTTCTCTTGTTCTGCTTGAAACCAGGAACTCTGCTGTCTGTGTCACCACAGAAACAAGCGTAGTTAGAACAGACAGGCAATCCTCTAACAGCCTTTTCTCTTCCTAAACTGTCTGGAAAAATAGATAAACCTGAACCTTGCCACCAATCATCCCCAGATGATGATTCTAGCTCCAGATACTGGAACACACTTTTTCAACTAGATCTTTATGACTTTGTCCTAAGGTTTGGACCCTTAGTGCTCAGTTGCCTTAGAAGACAGCTAGAAAACAGTTTTTTTCAGAGTTAAGGGTGCACCAGTTTAAGGACCACCTTGCCAAAATTATTTCATTCAGTGTAACAGTTTTACACTGTGGTCCTTTTATAGATCGTTTGTGATCTGCTGCTGGGACCATACATGTCTGAGATGCCCAAAGTAGCCTTCCCACTGAAAGAGAAGCATAAAGTATTTTGGAATGTGCCCTGTCATTGCTGTCATATTCAAACTTAGATGCCACATCCGTGCTACCGGGCTCTGTTCGTCATGCTGTTCTCATCTTTTCTGCCTAGCTTTCTCTTAGTAGGTGAATCTTCATCGGTTATGTCCAGGAAACCTTTAGCTCTAAGAGGAACCTCAAGATGGTCCTTAGTATTCCGTTTGAAGGGTAGTAGAATTTTGGAAATACCCTTGAAAGGGTCTTGCAGGATGTCTCTTGGCTTACTGGGCATTCTTCTCAGCCATCCTTGAAAGCTTTTCCAACTGGTTATTTTCTCTTACCTTGTTATTTGTTATTTTCATTTACCTAGGGTTTTTAATTTTATTTTACCTCTGCCCTTTCTGCACCATAGGCAGAAAGTCCAAACTAGAAAAACTGAACACTCTCTCACATTTCACTCTTTGCCCATGGCTAAAAGCAAGAAGTGTAAACAACCTGATGAATCCTGAAGGGAAGACTAGATAGATGCTCTGGTGATTTATCACTTTACAAGATAACTTTATCAGTTGCAACTACCAGATTGCTAAGTTTTGCATGATAGTGTGAATATAGGGTGCTCTGACATTTGCATGATGTCGAAAAACTCCTGACATCTCACAGTTTCTGAAGTCTTCACTGCTGGGCAAGTGAAAATCACTGGAAGTAAACATGGAGTGATACACATAAGGGAAAAGGTGGTCACCTATAAAACCATGGAAAATGTTGGCTCAGTACTCACTAGCTGTCAGAAAGAAATGAAACAGTAGTAATGATTAATCAAAAGAGCAAAAGATAAACCACAACAATGTCAGTTTTTATGAAGAGAGCCTTTTAATTTCTGTAGCCTAAACCAGCAGGACAAGTGAAATTAAAGCCCATGTAATAGTCTCCCATATACTTTGTTTCAATTAAGTGGCATAGTCTTCAGAAGCCACCTGGTGTTCCATGTGAGAGTGACTTTTTTCCTCTCTAAATAAGTTAATTTGTGCTTTTTTTTCCCATTCCTTATACCTTCCCAATGAGGTAACCTAGGTGTTAAGTAATCTGTAGATATACTTATTTTTAATGAGGAGATAGGGCTTCTTGGAGAAAAAGGGAAGGCCTTTCATCTCTCTGGATCTGTGGCTGACAGTTCTCTCAAAGGGGATTTCACAGTGATTAGGAACTGTGTGAAGTGTAATTATCACATGCAGTAAAAGCCTTTGATACCAAGAAAGACTTGTTGAATTGCAGCTCAGGCAATATCTGTAGCTTCTTAATATTTGCATTCGTGCAACTGAAATGTGCACAGTCACCAAGTGGGTCTGCTTTCATGCCCTTACGAAGGCATTATGGTCTTGCCAGAGGTTCTAGAAGCAATGCTTTGTCCTTCAATCTCTTTTATTCTGGATTCTGAGACTCTTTTTAAGATACTGTGTGGGCCACTGTTGGGAATCACCTGTGCTGTGAATGTATATATGGATGATCACCCAAAAGGTAAGTTACTTAACCTGCAACTTCTTAATTTTGAGATATTTATATATACATATATATATTAATAACTGTCTTTCCTGCTCTTCTCTGACAAGTTCAAGACCTATGTTCCATTCTTGGTAGCAGAAGATCCCCTTCAGTTTTATTGCTGCCTGGACTGCATGTCAGAGCATGTGGTTGCAATATGCCACTCTAGATGCTGCTGCAGTAAAACTTAGGCCAGCAGTGTACTTGTAGGCAATATATATAAAATACATTTCAAAGAATAATAGCAAGTAAGTCACAGGTGGTGTTTTGTTCTTCACCATCCATCTTGTACAACAGCATTACAGGAACCTTTTCCTCTATATGTCTGGTGAGTAGCCCTCATTTATAAATACAGATGATAAAGGGTGTAAATACAGGCTTAGGATCCCGAAGAAATGTATTATGGGTTTTGGTGAAAATGATCCCCTTTGAGGAGTATCCACTATGGAGGTGAGCAGAGTGGGAAACAAACCTAACTATAATAGCGCACAGTCCTTTGAGGGGATTAAATCTGCCCCAGAGTTCCCAGGATTAGGCTATGAAATATAGCACTTCTTCATCTTTTTGAATGAATGCAGCATACACCAGGTACTGTTTCCCAATACCTAATAGCATGATATAGGCAGCCAGAACGATGGTAACTGTATTATTCTTTTCAGCAGTTACAGTGTGTAAGGAGCTTTCCTGAGAATGTGCCGTGGTACGTCCTGCAGGCTGATCTTTACACTTAAACACTGTCTCTGCTTGGATGAGATCCTTAAGCATCTAAATATCCCAGTGTGTTCACTGAGACTGGTTATTTATTCTTGGACATGCGTGTTTTGTGGAATGAAACTCACAATTTATTTTTTTTTCTAAATGTGTTTAAGCTATTTGAGAGTGTTTCACCTCTAAAGTTTCCACTCTAAAATCCTCATTTTTCATCAGTTAAAACCAAGCTCCATCCACAAAATTCTGTTTTAGTATAAATAATAGAATATTATGAGTATTTTCCCATAAGAAAAATAACAGCTTTTTAAGGTTTCTTTCTTTAACAGGGACAGAACAATTAAAAGAACGAAAATTATTCTGAGATTTTTATAATGAATTGTCAGCAATGTGTTGTTTTTTCAGAGTATTTACTTCAACAAATGATTTAAGATACTACTTACCAAATCATTAAAAATTACATGTGAAACTCTGCTTTTTCCTTTATAGTGGTAATTTGCAAAGAAGACCATATATAGAAGGAAGAGCATGCAGTCATTGTGCAAATGACACCTGTGAAAATAAACTGTGTAGTAAGTAAAAGTAAATGTAAAACGCAGTATGTAAGAGGAAAAAGTACAATGGCGTATTTGATAAAGAATGTTGCAAGCTTTGTTTTACCCTTTGATGGTGTTTTCTTGTGTCCAATTCACAAGTAATTAAAAAGTATCCTTAAGGCTATTTACATTCAGGAAACAAATCATATTTTACTGAATCTGGGCCTCAGTGATCATTATGAAGTCTCCATTTGATGATAGACAGTTATAAGTCATGATTTCAGTTAAATGTATTACTCTTTCTGTTGCACTCAGATATTGTGCTGGCTTTATTAATCATACCAAAGAAATCAGCATGTAGCTATGTACTTTTCAGAGTAGCATTTAGCAGCAATTCTTGAGTAGTCTCATAGGCCTTCAGAAACAGCAGAGCTACTAATCAGTTATATTTGGAATTAAATATTTAAATTGCAGTTACTGAGTCTGTTGTGACTGTTTCAGCCAGCCACAGCTGAATTATATTCAAGCTTCAGTATAGCTGATGCTTATGTACTCTGAAAGCAGTCACAGTAACTGTGAGAAGGTCATTCTGGGTTTGTAATTCATGCTGGAGTTGTAAGGCCCATTGTCTTTCCCACCTGGTTATATCTGTATGAAAAGGGACTGCATACTGATTTAATTCTCTATCTATAAAGTGTTTTCCCGATGGCGAATAAAATCCTTTCCTTAAACTAGGTAATTCTTTTAACTCTGTTCTTGTCAAGAAAATGAATTAGAGTCATGAATTGGTAAGTATGCATCACGTTTTGATGGAGTGAAACATGAAGAGACAGTAAGTCGACTGTGTTCAGAAAGCTCTTGACCTGATAACTTCCACCTGGTGGGAAGTCGCAAGCAAGCAGTTTCCTGTGGCTAAAGTTAGGATGTGTGTTTTTAAGTTTCATTTAATAAACTGGAAGTAGGGTTTATGGTTTCTGTCTAACAGGTAGTTACTATATTTGCTCAATATAAATGTTAGTCTAGCTTTAAAAACATTCAGAAGTCCTGTAGGTCTTAATTTTTAGATAGCAGACACGTCTGAAAAACAGCTACACAGAATACCAGGTTGTAGTTGATCCCAGTATCAGGCCCCACTTAGGAATCAGTCTGTCTCACTTTCCCATCCATAAAATTGTATTTGATAGTACTTGCTACCTCATGTGTACATTGTGAATATTAATCAGTATTTATTACTTTGAGAAAGACAAAGGAGAGGGTTCAAACGGAAGATAAAGGGGCTGTATAATGTGTCCCTTTCCCCATCCATATCATTGTTATGAAGAGTAACGGCTTTATGGAGACATTACCATTATGAAGTATCAGTTTTCATTTTTACCAGAACATTCTGGCTTTTATTTTAATTGTAAGGTTTATCAGTGGGAATTGTAAGGAATTTTTCAAATTTTACTGATTGTAAATCTGATGAGTTTGTTTTAGCTATTATTTTAGATAATATTTTTATATTAAATATTTTATATTAAATAGATAATATTTTTAGCTAGTTAGATAAATTTTAGCTATTATTTTAGATAACAAATTTTTAAGGAGAAAGAAATCAGGACTAGCTGGTAACACTGTTTATTTTATCCCTTTTTCCAGGAAATACAGAACGTGATAAACTTACCTGTAAGTATTACAGTTTTCCACTGCTACTTATGTTCCTCAGTTACTTTAAATATATACTACAAGTAAATCTTACATCTATATGCTTATTTATAGATTATTCAGGATGGCGACCTGCTTGGGAGTTCAGCATCACGTGCGATGAGGCTTGTGTCAGTCTTGTGGTTTTGAGAACAGTACTGTTAGTTCTTGCTTTTGCCTGTGTTTATTTTACGAGAGACTACTTTACAGACATGCCTATAAACACCTAATTGGATTTGAAACACATAATATCTTCTGAAGATACTTGCTAACAAAATAAGCAAAAATGTCATACTGATGTGACATTAATGACAACTTTCTTTGACAGTAATTTTGTTCCTATTATTTTATGCTCCTTAGAGAAAGCTAACATGCCAAAAAAAGTGAAACTGTATGTGGGTAAAACCCATATTGGGAAAATATTAAGCTAAAGATGGTATCTGGTAAGGTTTGGAGCATTTAATTTTTAAATACAAGATTTCCCAAAACTGTGACATACTCTATTCCTGCAATTCAAGAACAAACTATGTGTCAGTTAAACAACTCTTACAATTCATACTAAGGCAGTCTTTGGAATCACAATTGCTTAATTTCGATGCTGAGAGAAAGCTAGCATCATATTACGTACTCAGGCCTGTTTTGTAGAGTGATAGAATGTTCTGAATAAAATATGTAAGTAGGATTTTATAGATGGATAGTTCTCTGGAAGTCTTGTTTGTGAAGCTAGCACAAGCAGATACTTACAATGCATTTATTGTTCATATTCAAAGTGTGACACTTCAGATTTATTATTTTTTTCTAACTCCCTCTAAATCCTGTGATTAATTTTATTTTTTTAATACTTGTTTTTATGTGTACTGTTACTTATGCATAGCATATTTCCTGCTTTGTAAGTGTTCTGGAGTCTCAATAATAAATTATCTTGAAACTTGCTCAAGTCCATTTAATCATCAGATTTTACTCTTCTTTACTCTTTCAAGGCATTAAATCTTTCATTAATATGCTTTAATTTCACTTTTTCCAACAAAAGACAGATGGAACTTATACAAGAATTTGACACTTGTGTTTCTTACCAGTATAGCAAACTAGATTTTGTCCTGCTTGTATCTTAGTCTTACCTAGTAAATGCCAATATGATTGCATGAAAGTTCATTATTATTAGGTAATGTTTCACCATTACTGTAAAAGAAGCAAATAAAAAAACCTCACAAAGTCAAATTCTGCTATTTTCTTACTGTTCAGATTGAGCTTAAAGGAGGCTTCCATGAGTTCATCTTTAGGAACAGTCACAAAAAAAATAAACTAGACTTTTACTGTACATTAATTTAAAATGAGGTATGTGCTAACTATTTCTTCTCTAAGTTTTCTATTCTAACATTACTAAAACACAGAACAGACATTTCAAATACAAGTTTTATTATTTAAAACTTGGATTACATTTTCAAATCCAGAAGCCTAATACTGGGTACCTAAAACCATAAGTAGGTGGCTCCTACATAGAAAATGGTGCATTATTAAAGTTCCTGAGCAACAGCTAGTTCCATTGCTTTACATGAATGTTGCTAATACCATCTCTGGAGAGAAAATCATTATTTAGATGCAGTATTAGGGTTGAAAAACTCGCTTCAGAGCTTTAGGGTTGAAAAACTCGCTTCAGAGCTATATTTCAGACATCTGTAAGTAAAAAAAGTTTCCTTAGTACCTGAAATACAAAATCTGGTGCTACAATAAAGCTCTTTCAGGTTCTGAGGTGTTTAACATTGCACAGTTTCACTATACTGCTTTTTTGCAGTTGAAACCCCCTGTTCATATTCAGTTACTAAAACATAAGTTTTCCTTCTTGTAGCTGTGACAAAGCCTAAAAGAAATTAATACCTAACACTGTCATTCCTATCCCTGGTAATAACCGTTCTTGTCATTTAGTAATTTTATCACAGTTAGGACTTCAACAATCAGAGTATGCCTTGGAGAGAAGGCGAAGTTGAAAGAGAGTTCGGCAGTCTCCCAAAGCCTTAAAAAAAAACCTCGTTTTTCTTTAAAACCTCAGCCATATTTATGCCAGGCTGATAGTAGTCCTTTCATCTGACACAGTTATTGTTTGTCCTGAGCTCAGCAGTGTGGAATTTGCGACACAGAATGATGTGCAGGTGGCGATGCCATCAGATACTGTTCCAATAAATGAAGTAGTTTTCCATCCATTAAAGTATTTTTTCATTCTGCTTGTTTGAACTTGTGATTCTCAGTTTCTTTCCTCAGTGTTGGTTCTTGTGCTGTCCACACAAAATACAGTTTGTCCCATTCCACAACTTGGTGTCTTCGGGAGCAAATCTCAGTGGCTGAGAAGATGGTTCAGAGATCCCTTTTGTAAAAACAGCATGGATGTGGACAGTTAAGGCTTGCTGGATCTTCTCTCAGGAGATTCCTGAGCAATATTCTGTAATACTCCAGTAGTATTGCAGTGGTTCTTGAACTTCCACGCTTCTATACTGCTGCCATGCACCCACCATTTCTGATGTTATCATAGAATCCTAGAATGGTTTGGGTTAGAGGGGGCCTTAAAGTTCAACTAGTTCCAAACCCCCTGCCATGGGCAGGGACACCTTCCACTAGACAAGGTTGCAAAGCCCCATCCAACCTGGCCTGGAATACTTCAAGGGAAAAGGGGCTTACTCTTACTCACTTATCCTGTGAAAAGAGACTTAGGATGCACATCAGAAAAGCTGCCTCATTTTTCAAATGCCTTAAATTTAAAAAGAAACAAATGTGATAAATAATCATAGAATCATAGAATAGTTAGGGTTGGAAAGGACCTTAAGATCATCAAGTTCCAATCCCCCTGCCATGGGCAGGGACACCTCACACTAAACCATATCACCCAAGGCCTCGTCCAACCTGGTCTTGAACACTGCCAGGGATGGAGCATTCACAACCTCCCTGGGCAACCCATTCCAGTGCCTCACCACCCTAACATAGTAATTTAAGAAATTTAAGTAACATGAAGGACAAGGAAGATAACCAGAGGTCCTGTTCAGCTAGGCATATACTTGTACTCTGTAGCAAGCTTCCTGTATCTATGTTGCTGAGATCATGCTAGATTGTTTGTCCTGCACAACTTGTGGAAGCTTTGGCTTTGTCAAGAATCACAGAATGGTTGTTGTTGGAAGGGACTTCTGGAGGTCACTTGGTCTAGCACTCCTGTTTGAACAGGGCCACTTTATACCTGGACCTGTCCAGAACCATGTCTGGAGGGTTTCTGAATGTCTCCAAGGATGGAGACTGCAACCTCTCTGGGCAACCTGTGCCAGTGCTTGATCACTCTCACAGTAAGAAAGTATTTCCTGATGCTCAGAGGAAACCCCACATGTTCTGGTTTGTGCTCATTGCCTCTGGTCCTGTCACTGGGAATCACTGAAAAGAACCTAGCTCCATCTTTTGTACACCCTCTCCTCACGTATTTACATGGTTTAAGGGAGTACTGTGTTCCATGGCATTATCACTGGCTATCCATCTTCACACTCTTTGGCAGACCTATTGCCAAAGGGAGGAGCCAGCCTTTGGTGACTGCTTCCCGCTTCCCTTATCCTTTGGCTGAGGGAAGAGAGTGATGTGGGCTGTCCTTGAGGGGCATAGCCATCTTGACTGGCAGGAGGTGGGCACCACAGAAAGCACCTTCCAACAACCTCTTGTGCTTCAGTCCATGTGACATCCCAGTACTGCGTTGAGAGAACACTGCAAGCAGTGCAGCGTGATTTTGTTCAGTTAGGCCAAGGGGCATAGTTGGCACTATGCAGCAGCACTGTACAAATCCTCCTAACCGAAACGACAGTGAAACTACATACAGTCCAATTGCATGCTGATGGGCTCCCCTGTTAATTGTAAGGCTCTTCACAACCTCATTAATACAGAATAATTGCAAGAATTTTTAGCTTTTAATAAACACAAAATAGTTTATTACAAAATAATTCCAGTACCACCACCATCCTTTCATTCAATCTGTTTACTGCCCTGAGGTGAGACTGTGTAAAAGAAGTAGGAATACGTGTCAGAATATTATTCACAAGTCTTGAAGGCAAAATGACCTCACAGCTGCCTAATCCTGTGGACAGAACAAGAAAGCCCAGCAGATCCACCCGTGTTTGATCAGCTGAACCTAGTAAGTCAAAAGACAAACATTCTCTCCCCAGCACAAGTAACAATGTGGGGAGGTTGATGATTTGAGGACAAAATTAAATGTAATTTTACAGATTCCTGGGATCTTGGATACCTATAATAGTCTGTAATCCACCAACCTTTAGTCCTCTGACTGAATCATAATTACAGAAATCTAAACTGAGGCCTTATTTTTTCCAGCCATTTTAAACTGAAAGCAGGTGCAAAGTGAGAGGGAGGGATGTAAACATGGGGATCTTTTCAAAGTTACTGGGCTGTATGGCTTCCCGCCCATACCCAGCTCATTGTGCTCAATTTCTCTTGAGATCGGTGCGGGGACAGGCAATGTTTGTATTGTCCGGACAAATATAATGTAACACCCAAATCGCAAAGCTTAAGTTTCATCTGGTTTACAAGATCCACCGACTAATGCTGGCAAAGGGTTGGAACTCTTTTTGTGAAAACATTGTTTACAGATGCTTGAGGGCAGGCTGGACTTCTGCTTTAATCATAGATAGAAGCACTAGGTGGAGCCAGAGCCAGCTCTTCATGAAGGTCGCCTGTAACCTGGGCTATCCTGTGTGTGTCAAAATTCACTGCTTCATAAAGATCTCCGTTCAGCTTCCAAGCACAGCATTTCAACTGCACGCATCTATAACTGCAAGATCACTGCATTGCTAAATTAATGGTGCAGTTTGAGTGCAAATTGCATGTGGTTGTAATATATAGTATTATATATACATTACATCTAGCTGCCCAAAAGCTTTAGATTGTACAGCATTATTAGGAAAGAAAAAAGAAAGAGAAAACATACTTCCAAGGTAAGACTCAGCTGGAGAAAGAATAACTGGCAGTAAATTGAACTTGGTCCTGGTCTAGAAAAGAGGCAAGGTGACTTTCAAAGGAGCAAAACTGCAGGCAGGCTATGTTCAGTTTGGAAGGAGGGGAGAGGGATGTTCACCCTAATGATGTAAACTGTCACAATTTCATCTAAGTATCTTTCCATTACCTGGAGAGTGGCACATCCAGTGGCACCTGGAAGGTACCCTGTGGGCTTCAGGAGTGAACATGGCAGAATGGAGGGTCTTTGGTAACCCAGAAGCAAGCAGCTGACAGAACAACCTCTGTCCCCGGGTTATACAGAAGGTATTGGCAGCCACAGGAAGAAGCCTCCCTCCCGAGATTTGCTTCACCATCCCAGTTTGACCAGCAGTCATCAACACCAGCAAGGGTCTGACCTCCTGTACACTGAAAAATGTCCCACCACAGCTGAGGGCCCTGTCACCTCTGCCAGTGTCCACACACAGTTTCTGGAATAAGCCATGAGAGCAGAAGAGAACAGAAACTACAGCTGGTAGTCAAGGGACCTTGGCACTGTTAGTTGTACACCAGAGGCAGAGTCAGCAGTTGGATCTAGTAAGTGCAGGTGAGATCATGACCATCGCATACATGTTCTGGAGGTTGATGGAGCCACAGCCAACCGCTGGTAGAGGAGCAGGTAAAGCAATAAGAGCTAAAAGCCAATGGCTGGGCTGCAAGTGTAGGTACTGCCTGGGGCTGGGGTTGTGTCAGGGTGAGTGCTTCACCCCCTACTTCTCTTTACTTGCCAAGGGAGTTGAGAGTTTGAGATGACTGGTAGTGCTGCAAGCATCTTTTTATCACATCATCAGTACCTTGATGTACTAAAAGCTTCTTGCACCCAGCTTGCTGTGGCCACAGAGAAAGTGGCCAGTCTCCTCTCACTGACTGCTTCAGCTTGGTCTTTTTTAAACAAATAATTTATTAGAGAAAAAAAACAGTGACCTTACTGGGAGAGTTTCAAAATACAGGAAACTATTGTAAAAGAAAAGGGGAAGATAGTACTTTTCAGTTCCCTCTCTGTCCAGGTCTCTTGTGCCTGTGAGGACTGTTTATTGGTAAGGGCTGTGTTAAGCCTGTCCAACAAAAATAACTGGAAGTCCTCTTTTTGTTTCTTCCCCAAAAGATCCAAAGCACCAGGATCTCTTCCATCCCCCTCCCCCCCCCAGCTTTTTTGCCTTCTACAGCTGCCCCTGCCTTCATGAAAATGGTCAACAAATCACTGCAGGGCTATGAGGAGGGTGTGGAGAGTTAGTAATGTGTGGTCATCCATAAACACATACACGCAGAAATATTTCATTATATGCCTCCTGTTAATAGCCTAAATAGATGTAGCTGTGATGGTGCTGGAGGACTACAGATCCTTCAGCCTGCCTGAATAAGGTGTACAGATTGTTACAATTTGAAGCAAATCAAGGGTATTATTTAACAGGGAAAAGCCATCATGCAACACCAGAATCATAATTTCCACAAGTGTTCAGCAGGATAAGACCTGACCTGCAAAACTGAGCAAAGAGTGAGACTCATGAATAGTTTACAACATATTTTCTCTGTAAACCTATCTAAATCTGAGTCACAAGACCTTATTTTAAAACATGGCTGTTCCTATGCTCTTGCATGTTTATACAGTTTGGTTTAGGTTTGAAAAAGCCTCAACCAGCTTGTAGAACAGTTGGTGAGACAATATAAATCCCAGCCCAGGCCATCCTACTGCCCCAAGAAGCGATCAGTCCTGGAATGTTAACAGAAGTGCTAATCCTATAGCCATTCTCCAGGAGCACTGGAAGCTCCTCCAGTGATTTCAGGCAATCAGATAATGTCAGATAGAGCTGTACTTTATGAAGCAATTTCGCTTCCTGTTAGTTTGACAGTTTCAAGTGCTTCAACACCGAGAGGACATCCTCTGAGGAACTGCTTGCCAGTATTATCTCAACCTGATTTCTTTTAGAAATTTAAAAACAATACTGAAAGCATTGAAGAATTATGAAAATCACATTTTTCTTTGCTGCATTGTTCTTACTGGATCTCTTTGCTTGCTGTCATGCTTATCTACAATATCCCTTGCCTGACATAGAAGATGCAAAGTTCATTGAAGACTGTGTGAGAGCTCACAACACGTTTCGATCCAAAGTGAATCCACCAGCCAGCAACATGTTTCGCATGGTAAGGTGGTGTTCATGATCTGTTTGAAAATCAATAGATCTTGTGCTGCTGATTTAGCCCATTTTATTCTTTATTTATTTTGTGCTCTACTTTCCATGTCTGTCAATGGCTTACCTACTATATATGTTAATGCTTCATAAGAAATATAAAAGACATTCATTTTCACAGTATTGTTAAGTGTTAATAATCTGAAGGGAATTCCCTTTTTAGGGATGGATTGCTACTTTAAGCTTCAGAAGAAAAGACAGAACAAAGGGCTGTCTTGCAAAAAAAAAAAAAAAAAGGTATTCAGTTCTCAGCATTTCATTTGCTTCTCTCTATGAGAGATAGTAATCTGTTTTATGTTAGTCCAGGTTTCATACAGGGAAGCTGGTATTAAAGAGCTTCTGAATAGGCAACCAGCACAAAAGGATTTGTTGCAAATTTAGCATCTCCTCTTGTTTCTCTCAGTCTAGAATATGTTGAAGAAAGGGATTTGCCAGGACATCCATCTTGATACCTCCTTGTCATTTGCTGTAGCAGGGTTTGAAGAGTAGGGATATTAATATCTGGGCTGGAAGACAGAGCTTCCTATAAATGCAATGAATAGTAGAACAGACTACGGATAAGTCTCAGCTTGTTTGATGGAATACATACAGAAGAAGGTAGATAGGAGGCTGAAAGAGGTAGCCCCCGTCAGTTCATGTCATTCCTCTGAGCCCTCCAGCAGCATAGCTGCAAAGGAAGTTAAATGCATAACCGCATGCACAGTATGAATCATTTCTATGAAAGGAAGTTCACAGTAAAGGGGTAGCTTGGACTACTCATTATTTTAATACTTGCTATTTTAAAAATCAGTGTTTCATTTAAAATGCTACTGTACAAGAACAAACTCAGCTGCTGAGACCAAAAATCCAGCAAGCCTGGAATAACAGCAAGATAAATATATAGAAACCTCTTGAATCAAAGGTATCACATTGTATTTAAAAGCTCTTGATGGATTTTTCTTGTATGATTTTTTTTTCAGCCTTGAGCTCACGCAAGCTTTTATCATCCCTGTCATCATGTAGCAAAGAGCTGCACAACCTTAGCGCAAGTTATGTGAAGATATCTCCTTCCATTTGATTTGACCTGTTAATTCTTAGTTTCATTTGATAGTCTCTGGTCTTTGTATTGGAAGGAGCAACTAACGAACTGCTTATTTACCTACTTGACACAAACTGTCCATCTGTCTCTGATCAAAGCTGCAGAGCACTCTTTGTTGTTCTATGAAAGCCCTACATACTTGAGGATGATCATCACCTTCCATGTTCTCTCTGTCCTTTCCAGTTCTAGTGTCCATTTTTTAATGCACACAGCATTTAACAGGACTTCTCACAGTGGTGTAATTATACACCTGGTTTTATTTTCCATCCCTTCTCAAGGAATCTCTAACACTTCATTTGCTTTTTTAGACTACTCTTTAATAGTGATTTACAAGTGGTAATAACCACCTCCAAACTTGTCATTATGAACACAAAGTCAAAATTGTGCTTTTTTTTTTTTTCCTCACACATCCCTTAACTTACTTTTTATATATTGAATTTTACATTTTTACCTGCTATTATATTGCCTGGTCATCCAGTGGCATGAAGTCTTTCTGCAAATCTCCCAGACTAGTTTCTCAAATTCTCACTGTGCCACTCAGTGTAAGAATAATTCCTCCTCAACCCAGGAGAGGTGAGTGAGCCTTTTATTTGCTTCGGCCACACTTCTCAATGAAGAGCAAAGAGGCAAAAGGGGCTGGGGAAGGGAGTGAGTTTTCTCTCCATCCTGGCCAGCAGAATTCCTATTTGGTTTAGTGTTAAGGGCAAAGGGCTAATCCCTAGATGCAAAGTCCTTCACACCCCTCTACAGCTGGGAGTTTCACCCAGTTACCTACTCTCAGGTGCAGCAGCTTACAGACTGCAGTTTAGCCCATATACCACAGGTCAGCGGATAGATCCTACATGTCCTGCAGTATCTAAGGAAGAAAGAAGAAAAAAGAAATTGTTATGGGAGTAGGAATGTCAAGTCAGAGAAAGAAACTGGATGCAGGGATGGGAAGTAGAAAAGGGGAAAAAAATCCTAAAGTTTCTGTTTAAAAATGTTTGAATTCAGCTAAGTCACTGCTGTGCATGTTATATTATGGTTTTTTTTTCCTTTTCTACAGTCCTGGGACACTGCTTTAGCTAAGACTGCCAAAGCATGGGCAAAGAAGTGCAAGTTTAAGCACAACATTTACCTTAAAATGCCTGGGAGGGTGCACCCCAGGTTTACCCCTGTTGGAGAAAACATCTGGACTGGCACAGCTACCATCTTCTCTGTGGATGCAGCTCTCAGTGACTGGTTTAACGAAGTCAGCAGCTATGATTTTGACAGCAACAAGTGCGCTGGCATGTGTGGTCACTACACCCAGGTGAGTCTTATATGCCCAATGGTTTATAATCTCATGGTTACACAGATAAGTCAAGTACAGGCATGGAACAGACTGGAAAGGAATTACAGCAAGATTTTACAACCCCCGATTTATTGCTGAATGAGACTGGAAATAAATATTCCAAGTCCCAGGGATGTCCAAGTCCTATTTCCTGTATGGTGAAAGGGGTTATCCCATGACGATTTCATGTTTCCAGGGGAGCCAGATAATAAATGGAAAAGCATTTATCATTCAGTTGTTTGTCTCAGCTGCTGTTTGGGTTGTTGATGTTGCCCCTGTGTCAGCTGTTTTGAGTTTCCACAAGATCCTCCCCTTCTCCTTCCTCCCTTAATGCTGCTGTATTTTCAGTTTTTGAACGGGTACATTACGTTTCTCTTTGCCTTTCAGGTTGTTTGGGCAGACAGTTACAAAGTTGGCTGTGCAGTTCACTTCTGCAATACAGTTGAAAATTTTCCAGGACTTTTCAGAGCAGCACATTTTGTTTGTGACTATGGGCCAGCGTAAGTTACTTGTAACATTATCGTTATTGCTATTGTTATTGTTAGTATTATTAAAATATCCTAGAACTGACCTGGTGTCAGATGGAACAATGATGGGAGCAGCTGTAACAAACTTGAGAAGAAGCTACATCCATATGTCACCAGTTCAAGGGAAGCTTCCCCCAGCCATTGAGAGCAGGAGCTGCTGGACATAGCCACAGCTGCAGAAAATCCCTTTCTAAAAGGGCAGGAGAGCAGAACATAGCTGAGAGCACTCACCATAACCAAGATGGTGGAACAAAATCAGTTCAGTCTCTGCAGGAAAAGGTGCAAGCTTTGCGCTTCAGCAAGATTACATCTTTCTACCGCCCCACCCAAGCTTCAAACAAGACATTTTAGTTGAAGAAATCAGTTGGTCTTCTAGTTTATCTCATACCCTGCAATTTCTGGGCTTACCTTTTATGTATTTGCTTTCAAAATACAGCTGGGAAAGGAGGGACTAGAGGCAGACTGTTGTGCTTACAGTGAGTAATACGGTATTTCCTGAGAAGTTTCATTAATTTCAAGAGGCACCAGGGAGCTGCTCCCCATGCCAGTGAGAGCTTTATTCTGATCTAAAAGAATTTCAAACAACTGCAGTGATCATTTTCTCATAAAGGGATTTCCTCCCCCCATAATAGCTGTTCATGAAAAATTATCCTAACAGTCTGATGAAACCATGTATTTAAATTGCTTTCAAATGGCTGAGCTAGCAAAATACTGTTTTTCTGCTTTGCAGGGGGAATTACCCAAGAAAACCATATAAAGTAGGGCAACCATGCAGTGGATGCAGCAGCGATAAGTGTGTAGACAAGCTCTGTGGTAAGACCAAAGTGATCAACTAAGAAAGTTGAATAGAAATAAAAGCGTCATAATTATGAGTGCAAAAATGACGATGAGATGATCTGTAGTAAGTACATAGTGGGTCTGTAGTGCAGCACAGAACAGCTGTATCAAACCCTGGTAAGAATAGTATAAGAAGAAATGAATTGAAATACTTTTCTGTTGAAGGCTCTTAGAGGTAGAAACCAAAGTTTCTGATAAAAGGAAGTATCAGGTAGACTGCTGCCTGCCTTTTATCTGATCAGGAAGTCAAAGCTAAAACTCTAGCCCTGACAAATATTCCCCTTGTATTTCTTCTTTCCTAGCAGAAATTGTATATTTAACTTCTGCTTTCTTGCTTGTCTAGTTTGTCCTGTCACGTTTTCCAGGCGATTATAGCTCTGAATCAATGACAACACTACTGAAAAGCACACTTATTTCTAACTTCTACAATTTTCTGAACTATAGCAGTGAGAGCTTGTTTTTCCACAGCAATTTGCAGCTGTGGACCTTTATGTCATTACACTTAGTCCCAGACTAGTCAGAAATAGTGTTTTAAATAAACAGAGAATAAAGGACATGCAACAATGTCTTAAATCAAATATGAATTCTATACAGAGGATTAATAAGGATGGTCTCTACAATACGGGCTCCAAATAGCTTCAGCTGTAGAAATAATTGAGCATTTGGTACTCATATTTCCTTCTGTGATATCCTGGCTGACTCATCTTGAGGTCTCAGACTGATGCATCACAGGAAAACTAGGAACATCTCAAAGACTAGGGGGAGTGTGAGGAGGAAGAGAGCTTTTAAAAACTATGTGCTAGATCCTACAACCCATTTTACCATGTTCTCCTACAAGGCAAATCAGCAGTTCCGATAGGATGCACATAGGCAATCCTGAAAATGCATCAAAGGTCTTAGTAAAGGTGTACTTTTGCTAAAAACCTATTAGTTATATTTGTCTGTAACTATTTAAATTTGGTTTATCAATTTTACATAAATTCCATGGTTTGTTTTAATTTGCTATTCCCTCCTTCCCATGACACAAATTCTTCCTGACACAACTGCCTCTTTCCTGCATCTCTTGTAATTTAATAAAAAATAAGAGCCGCACACCAGCCGGAAGCCTGCTCTTGTTGACATGCTTCCTCCTTGCGGGATGTTTTAGGCACTAACTGGCATTATCACTGCAGTGAGCAGGGCACTAGCAATGGCTTACTCTTTACATTAAGAGCCACCACCTAGCGATACTCGCATTCATCTCCTCTTCTGATCTCTTTTCAGCAAATGCAGAACGTGAGAAGCTGATAAGTACGTATCAAGTTGCTCTTAATTGCTTTCCTGTAGGTATGGCTAAGTTTGATGAGTCTTAATGCCTGTTTCTTCACTGTTTTAGATTATGCCTACTGGCATCCGGAGTGGGATACACAGCCCCAGCCGCCACGGCCCCGGCCCCCCAGGCCTCCAGCACCACCCCACATCCCACCTGCTGAGCAGCCGCATCCCTCTTGTGACCAATACTGTCTTTGTGTTTCAATTTTAAGACCACTGGTTTTGGTACTGAGTACTGGTGCTGTTCTTTTAGTACAAAAGTGGTTTCCACATACTTTTTTAATGAGTAATGATCAATTAAGGTACTAATAATGATCTTATTGCTCTGTATTACTCTCAGAGAATTGCACAAATATAAGAAAACACTTGGTTATCTCTCCATTATCCTACTGATGTTTATCCACCACAGGAAAGGCTTCTTCTCCACTCAAGGCAGAGTTAGCATAATTTATTGGCAGTAGCTGCACACGCTCCTATGTCTGTACAAGCCATTTATATCTGGTTCAGTAGATTGATAGAGGGACCACATATAGATTATATATTACTATACATGCTAACAAGCCTCCTGGAAACCTGGGGCATCACAAAGACATGTCTGCAGTGGCACACTGTATCAAAAAGAAGTAATAACTCATCTCCATTAACCTTAAATTATCCCAAACATTGTTTTCCCCAGATAATGGAGATCTAACTATATGTATTATTTATGAACAGAAGGAGTAAAGCTTGTCTTTTACTGTGTTTAGCCTATGTGTATATATCAGTCTTCATTAAAGTTACTCTGTTGTCAGGTGTACTATTCTGTTCTCCTCCTCCCAGAGTTAAGCTCTGTCCTCCATAGCTACAATACCGGGGAAGTTGACAGAGCAAGGACTAAGATGGGGTGTTAATGGGGAGAGCTTAATTTTAGGATGTGAGATGGTGACAAAATCTGAAATACAAAATCTGGGTGACAGCCATGCTGAGCTTGCAGACAGGGAAGGTGGGGGAGCAGGGAGGAAAAACAGCAGGGGGAAGATGAAATTGGCTCAGGACAGCCTCTGGTTCAGAAATGGAAGATCTCAGCCTCATTAAAAAAGCCCAAACTGTTGAGTGATAGATTCATTTTGGGTTTAGAGACATTTAACCCTCAACCCCTATCACTCCTGTATACATTTCCTAGTAAAGGAAACAAACCTGTTTTTCAAGCTAAGAGATGCTGGCTGGTATTAGCAATACATAACTCTGCTATCAGTATTTAAAGATATTTCTCCTCCTTTATCAGAGTCCTAATGCTTTGAGAACACAGTGACTCAAATTCTGAGCCACACAGCAGCTCTGAAGGAGCATGGTGTCCCACTTTTGTCATATGCTGCAAAATGTCACCATGTAAGAAGATACATATTTAATTTCACAACTCTCAGTTCCTGTCTGTTGCCATCTTTTATATGTACCAACAGTGAATTGGCTGGAGTTGGGAAAGTGTCTGGGAGGGGGCACAGCTGGGATGGCTGACCCGAATTGACTGAAGGGATATTCTATGCCATATAACACTGTGTTCAGAAATAAGCAAGCAAACAAACAAAACAACAACCACACACGCACACAACAAAACCTGCCATAGAGGAAGAAGAAATGTGGGGGGCTGGCTTCCAGGGTGTCCACTGCTCAGAGACTGTCTAGGCACCAGTCTGCCTTTGGGGAGTATGAGTGATTGCCTGTACATCACTGGTGGGGTTTGTTTGCTTGTTTCCTGCCTCCTCTTTCCACACACATTAAACTGTCTTTATCCTGACCCATGAATATTCTCACTTTTCTTCCTCTTTTCTACCCCATCCTGTTGGGAAGAGGGGAGTGAGTGAGTGGCTGTGTGGGTGCTTGGCTGCTGACACGGGTCAGCACACCGCATTATTCTGCTCTAAAAAGGAGTCTGTTGGGGAGATGTGAACAAAGCGTTTCTCGTCCGTGATTCCCTCAGAGAGTATTTTCATCTGTAATCAGTCTCCCCACGAACAGCTGGCAGTGTGTGACATGCAGGACCTAATGTGTGCTGAATGTGGCCTTGCCACCAGCCCCAGCCCCCACAGGAATGCATGTGCAGAAGCGATAGCTGGGACCTGCAGCCAGGTGTTCAAAGGTGTTCCTTAGATGAACATGGAGTGACAGCTACAACCTCATTCCCATAGAGATGTACAGGTTGGGACTGTGGCAAAGGGCCTGAGCTTGATGGACAGGTGATAGTTAAGGGCAGTGTGAAGAAGAGGGTGGTGGTGGTGGTGGGTCTGAGCAGGGACACTGTTGGGCACCTGAGGCAACATGCATGGGACATCGGCTCCCAACTCCTGGCTGTGAAACCCAGTGTGGGTACTGGGCACCCAGCACGAGACAGCACCAACTTTCACAGCATCCAACTCAGCTGGGGACTTGGGTTACAGGAAATTAATTATGAACTGCTGAAGCTTGATAGCACATAGCACAAGGATGTGATCACAGGACAAACCCATCAGTAAGTGCAGCATACTTAAATTGTGGTTCTCAGCCAAACATACCCCTCCAATAACTCCATGTACAACAAAAGTGACTATTGATACTGTAGTAAAAGTTCAGTTATTTCTCATAGCATTTTGGATAAGAGTAACAGCCGTAACAGCAATGCTATTTTAATGAAAAGCAGAAAATATATCCAAAACTGTCCAAAATCCATAGTGATTGCTACGGATGGGATGTTGGGAGCCAATAGAACAAAAACAAAGAAGCCCAAAAGACAGGACAGAAGCTTACCCACCACAGTTGAAGAAAGAAGAAAGAAAAGAGACAAAGCTGCCACAGCTCTGATGTGAACTTGTAGCTTAATTTCCTCATTCTCGCAGCAGTGCTGGTGAAATGTGACTCATTTCCTGCAACAAAGCCATATTCAATTACCATGGCTAAGATAAGTCCAGCCCACAAGCCATCCAAGCAAAATGCTGCTGTGGGGCTAAAACCACCTCTGAAGCATTCTGCTCTTAAAGCTGAACAGACCAGAGGCTGAGAATCATGACAAGCAGATTTTCTGCTTGTGTGCTGGCTTTACTGCACTTCTGTCGTTCCTCTGACTCATACGGACCACAGACATTGCCTGATGTTGGAGATGCAGAGTTTATTAAGGAATGTGTGCAAACCCATAACAGATTCCGGTCCGGGGTGAATCCATCGGCCAGCAACATGCTCTACATGGTAAGGAGATCTTCACGACTTATACGCAAGTGTGTAGCATTTTGACTGTGCTTACACTTCTCAAAGCAACCTCCTGGGATCGTAGAGCTCATAGAGCATAGAACCATAGATCACAGAGCATAAAAAGCAGCGCTGCTTCTTTTTAAAGCAGAGAAAAAGGCTCTGATTATCAGGTGGCTTTATGCGCTCGGGTTTGTGTATAATTTTTCCTGGATTAATTTCCTCATTTGAAACCCAAGATTTCAACCCTCAGTGTTTTGTGCTGTGAAAAGCCTTGACAGCCCATGGTGTAATTTGTGTGCAGACTTAAGCACAACCTTTCATACTTGAGTCAGCATGGGCACAGACTGTTGCCAAAAAGTCTCTCGGAGAGCTTTCTTTAAGCTTTCTTTGCAAAGCTCTCACAGGCTGAGCCAATGGAGCAGCTGTTTCTAGGTACTGGGGCTGCAGGGGAAGCCAAAAAGCAACATACATCAGGAGCAAGTGATGCTGGAGGCACCAGGTCCCACATTGCTCTACATCCCTGCCTTCTCCCTGTCCACATCAGGAGGCAGTATCTGCAGCCACCATGCAAAAAATAGCCTGTTGTAATTCAAAATACACCCAAAAGTGGCCACCTCTCATGTCAGATGGCTCATGACACTTGCCTCCCTGTCGGGTGGCACATGGAAAAGCCAGCAAGGAGGAAGCTGTATGCATAAAGCTAGGCTTATGGCTGAGAAGCCCAGCTCTGATTTGTGAGATGTTCCAATAGCTTGGGAGTTGCCTCTTGCAACATCCATCACCTTTTGTGCTTTGACTGGGTAATACATGAGATTTCTGTGTTTCTCCTTGGAATAATCACAGATCTCTCAGATGGACCATAGCAATTGTCCCTGCCCATGGCAGGGGGCTTGGAAGCAGATGATCTTCAAGGTTGCTTCTAACCCAAACCATTCCATGGTTCTATGATTCTGTGGCTGTCCTAATTCTTATCTCTTTCATTTTGTTCCTCTTCCTTGCTATCTCGCATGGTCACCACCAGAAGAGGACATAACCACATCTGTAATTAGCAACACCCCAACCAAAGTTAAAGCTCATTTACCATTTCTGGTTGTCAAACACTAACAAAGAAGTGCCCACTGGGGAGGGGTAACTGAGCAGTGAGCAAGCTCCAGTTACAAGCCTGACAGGAAACAATTCAGTTTCTTTTCTAGATGTATCTTTTACTTCAGCTTTCTTCTGCTGGGCATTCTGAACTCCCAGTACATATAGCTCCACACTCAGTTTTCTGGAATGCTTTACTAGCCCTGTACTAACAAAATCTTGCTAGGATGTAAGGATGTATTAAAAAAGCAATAGTCATATTTTTAAATTATGCCTAATTTTTCCTTTTGAAAAATTAAAGAACTGAAATCTGAAAAAAATAGCAAGAAAAAAAAGCTTCAACAAATGAAGATTATTACAAATAAAATAAGAAATCATGGTAAGTTTCCTTTAAACTGCAATCCCCCCCAATCTTAAGTATGACCTCTCCCAGGAAGAATTTAACGTGAAGAAAGCAGCATAATACATGATAAAATCTGTTATGAAAGTAAAAGCATTGGAATTGAAAACAGCAGATTTCTTCATTTTTGAGTGGCCTTTAGCACTTCAAAAATGAAAAGATGTCTCTCTTTCACAGGGAACTTCTGTCTGCTGCCGCCGATAACTGTCCACCTAGATATATAAAAATGAAGCCTTTCCATGTGAACTCAAAGCATTTCTGTCTTTTGGAAAAACAGTTTTTAAAAGAAAATACAGGACAGAAACTCCTTTAACTGCAAGTAACAAAGCCCAACCATCTGTATTCGTAATACATTTATTATGAGAATGCTGATCTTTTTTTTACCCCAGTGTGACCCCTTTCCCATTCACCCAAAGCATTGCTTAGGTCTGTTCCAAGGCTCATCAAAATCAGCACAAAGAGTCTCATCAGTTTCATTAGGGCTTCACTACAGTCTCCTTTGAGAGATGCCTCACATCACTTTTCACACATTCAATTTTCCCTACCTAATTCAAGAGGGAACTCACCTGAGCTATACAACCAAAACTGAGAAATAATTTATTAGGAGAAAAAACTGTAATTATTATTTTCTTAAATAGCAATGATATCTGTATGCAAACGTCCCTGTTCTGTGCATCAGTTTAGTCCTATCTTTTTGCATAAATGAAGTTTCATAAGCAAATAGTTAAAGATCACCCTGAAATATCAGTTTCTGCATGCTGCTTTTTCA